TATTTAGCCAGCCTCACCTACCTGCCTCGCACCTGGTGCCATTTGAATGATTTTGAGAGAGGTAGGCAGGGTTAGTTGCTTGCTATTTTCTCCCCTGCCTTCTTTTCCACCAATTATCCCTGGCTCTGCATCCCAATTTCAGACTGGGCTAAACCTGTTGTATTTCTGCCTAAGCACATGATATCCCCTTTTAGGATCACACCCTCTTTTGTGGGTTCTGTTTCAGTATGCTGGCAAGGAAGGAATGGGTCCAAAGTTGTTTTATTTTTATTTTATGTCCCATCTGTAAAAATTCCAAGACAATAATCTTTCAGCAGGAATCCTGATTATCTAGAGTGCTCCTTTTCTACAAAGGCTGCCAAACAAGCTGTCCAAAAAGTCTAATGGAATGAAACAGGTTTTGCGTCTGCGTTTCAGTTTGATTAAATCATAAAGCTCTCCAGACTGAAGTTACTTAACTTTAATCAGTCAGTCAATCTGGGACACTTGTCAGTCTTAATAATTCGAGTCAGAAATCCTTTCAAGATTACTGATTATCATTATTACTATTCATTATGAAGTTATATACCACTGCACTGAATGCAAAAATGGGCTTCTCGGCCGGTCGAAGTATTTCGATTGCCACATTGCCAAGCCAGACCTCTTTAATCTGTATTCAATAAAGTTGTGGCCTGTTTTTACCCCAAACCCAGTCTCATTGGTCTCTTATTTATATGGGTTGGGGTATGGGAAGTCCGATGCCTTGTCCTGCAAAGTACGTTTCTAATATTCAAGAGCGAAATCTGGTGGATAAGTGTACAGTGGCACCTTGCTTCTCAAACGCCTTGGAACTCAAACAACTTGGAACCCAAACACTGCAAACCCGGAAGTAAGTGTTCCGGTTTGCGAACTTTTTTCAGAAGCCAAACGTGCTCCGTTTTGAGTGCCACACTTCCATTTTGAGTGTTACCCTGAGGTCTGTCTGTTTTTGCTATTTTGCGTTTTTGTTTTTGCGGCTCTTTTTGTAATGTTTTTGTGACTGTGTGGAACCCAGTTCAGCTACCGACTGATTGATTGTGTGACTGCAGTACAGTCATAACTCAGGTTACAGACGCTTCAGTTTGCATTTTTTTGGGTTACGGACTCACCGAAACCTGGAAGTACCAGAACAGGTTACTTCCGGGTTTTGGCAGTCACGCATGCGCAGAAGCGCTAAATCGCACTTTGCGCATGCGCAGAAGTGCTGAATTGCAACCCGAGTGTGTGCAGACGCAGCGCTGCAGATTGTGAACGCTGCAGGTTGCGAATGTGCCTCCTGCACGGATCACGTTCGCAACCCAAGCGTCCATTGTACATTGTTTATTACTTTCATTTTATGGATCAATTGTCTCGTTAGACAGTAAAATTCATGTTAAATTGCTGTTTTAGGGGTTGTTTTTAAAAGTCTGGAATGGATGGGAAAGCACACTGCTTTCTATGGGAAAGTTTGAGAACCAAGGTACCACTGTATCCCGAGCCCCACATTCGTTCGGAAGATGGAAAGCATTAATACAGCAGTCAATGGTTTCTAGTCATGATGACTGTATATTCCTCTATCTTAAGCTTAAGTTTATCTTTTCAGATAAGGAAAGGCTTCCTGACCCTCTGGCATTAGCGTTTAAAGAATTGCAAGTGGGAGGGTCCTTGATAACAGCATTACAGGACATTTCTCACCCTGTCTTGACTTGCAACATGAGGAATCGTTACGCAGAGTGGTCAAGGGATCCATCATGAATGTCCTCCAATATATATCCACAAGATAAAGCTGAAACAATATCAGCTTTGGACCTACAGAATCAGACTAGGCAAAGAATACTTACCTGGGTCAGAAGTGGATGGAAATGAGGAGCCAGGTGTCTGGGAAACGACAATTTCATTTGCAGGAGAGCTCATCGATCTATTCATGAGAAAAGATGGGTTCAAATTGAAAAGTAAGACACCTAAGGAAGTCGGCAAAATACTGGAGTTTGGAAACAACTGCAAAGCAAATGAGCAGCTCTCCTTTCAGATCTCCTCAAAAAATTCAGGATTTGAAAGGAAAGGAAAGTCAAAGAAATAGCCCAAGAGTTTGGAAAGAGTAGTGGCTGTTCCAGCAAGCTCATCTGGAAAACTAAGAGAACTACGAGCAATTAATTGATTCTAGCAAATCCACATGAAATTGTTTATTGCTGATAGAACCCCATCTACGAAGACCAATAGCATCAACAAAAGCATACCTTAGAAGATGAAATATCAGATGCTGCAACAGCTGAATCGTAACTGTTCTATCATGCAACATGCCAGTTTTATTTGAGGCTTTCCGTTTCATCCATTCCAATATCTGACACTTCAAAAACTGCTAAACATTTGGAGGTTTCGCTGACAATGGCGTATCCTTTACCCACTCGAGACAAGAGGAAATAATACCTTCTGTCCAGGGTTGTTAGGGGAGAAAGTTTCTAGCTCAATGGTGGAGCACATTTTACCCAGAGAAAACCCCAAATTTAATCTCTGGAGTCTCCAGGCAGGGATGAGATTATAGGAATGGGGCAAAAAATTGATTCCGTTTTCATTTAAAAGTGAATCTACCTAAATCTGTGCCTTCTGAAACAATAAAGGTAAAGGTAAAAGGACCCCTGACCATTAGGTCCAGTCGTGACCAACTCTGGGGTTGCGGTGCTCATCTCGCTTTATTGGCCGAGGGAGATTCCGGGTCATGTGGCCAGCATGACTAAGCCGCTTCTGGCGAACCAGAGCAGTGCACAGAAACGCCGTTTACCTTCCCGCTGGAGCGGTACCTATTTATCTACTTGCACTTTGACGTGCTTTTGAACTGCTAGGTTGGCAGGAGCAGGCACCGAGCAATGGGAGCTCACCCCGTCGCGGGGATTCAAACCGCCAACCTTCTGATCAGCAAGCCCTAGGCTTTGTGGTTTAACCCACAGCGCCACCCGCATATACAAACCAAAACACAACCATCGTTCAACATTCACACTTCTCTGAATTCTACAATGCGGTTTCCCAGCAGTGTGTATAAAAATGCATATATTCAGGAAAGTAAGAGAGAGAAATGAATCATATTGGGAAAATATGCTTTGCAGTAAATGTGTCTATTAGGCAAAACTGGGCAATGTACACCTGTCAGGAGCGACGCCTCAGTGCCTTGCAGATGTGCTGCATCAGGCAGATTTTAGGCATCACATGCCAGGAGAGTGTCTCAAGCAAAGGTGTGCTCTCCCAAGCCCACATTCCTGCTGGCTTGGTCATGACCACAGAATGTTAAATGGCGGGATCCCCAAGGACGTTCTCTGTGGGGAGCTGGCTACAAAGATGTAGCTGCGCTACAAAGATGTCTGCAAAATGTGACATGAAGGGTCAGGACATTCTCAGGGAAATCAAAATGCTTGTTTATGAAGCTATTGTACTGCCAACCTTACTCTATGCTTGTGAAACATGGACCACTTATAAACACCATCTCCAATTCCTCGAAACATTCCATCAACGGCGTCTCCGAAAATTTTTACACATCACTTGGGAAGGCAAGCAAACTAATTCCAGTGTGCTGGAAGAAGCAAAGATCACCAGTGTCGAAGCGATGGTTCTTCAACATCAACTTCGTTGGACTGGTCATGTTGTGCAGATGCCTGATGATCGTCTTCCGAAGCAACTACTCTATTCCGAACTTAAAAATGGAAAGCGTAATGCTCTTGGTCAACAAAAGAGGTTAAAGTCTGTCTCAAGGCAAATCTAAAAAAATGTAGTATAAACACTGACAACTGGGAAACACAGGCCTGCGAGCGCTCCAGTTGGAGAACAGCCTTTACCAAAGGTGTTGTGGGCTTTGAAGACACTCGAACTCAGGACACAAGGGAGAAACGTGCTAAGAGTAAGGCATGCTTGGCAAATCCACACCGTGATCAACTCCCGCCCGGAAACCAATGTCCCCACTGTGGAAGGACGTGTGGATCCAGAATTGGCCTCCACAGTCACTTACGTGCTCGTTGTTGAAACCGTGTTTATGGAAAACAATCTTACTCGGCTACGAGGGATCACCAAAGAAGACATGAAGGATGACTGCTGGGAGGAGCACAGAGAGAGGAATCTCTCCCCCCCAATGCTATAAAGTTGAGAAGCTACGCTGACAAGACCCAGAGCTGGTTCAGACCCTGATTAACAACTTCGACCTGGGTACCTTCTTAGATGTAGGAAATAACAAGTCAGAGCCTGTTTCTACCAAAACAGCAGGCGGACACTGTGGCCTCATCTCCTGACGTTGGAGACCACTTGATTTGGAAAGCATACATGTGAAAGAGCAGAACTTCTGGAAATGCCCATACTTTGTGTCTAACAAATTTGGAACTTTGCCTTGACTGTCTGCAAATACCAGAACTGCCTCCTTGTCTGGGAACAAGCTTTGAGGGTCAAGCATCCTAGCGACAAACAATGAGAAGCTCAGGAAGAAAAGCACATCTCTGCCCGTTTGGGAAAGGGATGTGAATCACTTTTGCCAAACACCAGCCGCACAGCACCCACCCGAGTGGCAATTCCACTCCCAGAAATTCCCAAGGCCTCCGACAACGTCTGTGATAGATGATGGATGAGCGGCGACCGGGGCACAAAACGTCGGGGCAAGGGCATGTCCCAGCGTCCAGCCAAATTGTGTGCCGGAAGGGTCCCTCGCTGGCTCAGTTCTAGAGCAGATGAGCAGCTCTCCAGCATGGAAGGAGGCAGAAATCTCCCTTGGCAAGGGTCAGATGAAGGAGGAAGCCTCCCAGCTATTGGAGGAAGGAAGGAAGAAAGGCTCTCTGCCAAGGGCCCCATGAAAGGATAAGAGAAGGGGTATCTGTCGGTCCCAAAACTCCCTGAAATAGTTGCAAGCAGCTAGGAATAGCTCCAGACACCTCGTAGCCCTCCTGAAATCCACGGAGTGGCCTATAAATATGGAACACCCTCCCACCAGATGTCAAGGAAATAAGTAACTATATAACCTTTAGAGGACACCTGAAGCTTAAATGTTTGTTGGTTAGAGCGTGGTGCTGGTAATGCCAAAGTTGCAGGTTTGATTCCTGTATGGGACAGCTGCATATTCCTGCATTACAGGTGGTTGGAGCAGATTATCCCCAGGGTCCCTTCCAGCCCTGCAACTCTATGATTCTACGAAGGCAGCCCTGTATAGGGAAGCTTTTTAATGTGCACTGTTTTATTGTGTTTTTATATATAGTCGTACCTCTACTTACGTATCCCTCTGGATATGGAATCATCGGGTTATAGCCACGGCAAACCCGGAAGTATATATGCCTTGTGCATGCGCAGAAGCGCTCAAGCAAGCTGCACACATGCGCCGAAGTGTTTGATTGCACCGTGCACATGCGCAGAAACGCTCAATTGTGCAGCACACATATGCAGAAGCACTCAACCGCACCACGCACATGTGCAGAAGCGCTCAACTGCGCTGCGCACATGCATGGAAGCGTGCCTCTATTTACATAATTTTCAGGGTGCGAATGGACCCCCAGAACGAATTAAGTTCCTATCCAGAGGGTCCACTGTATGTTATGTTGGCCTTGGTGAAGATTTGACGTTTTCATCCCCAAAAAGTTTTTGATTTGAGTTTCTACTGAGATGAGGCTGCATATTAATGTTGTACTTAATCTTGTTTTTAAGTTGTATTTTAATCAATTGTTTTCACCTGGTGTTAGCGGCCCTGAGCCCAGTCTTAGCTGGGGAGGGCGGGGTATAAATAAAATTTATTATTATTATTATTATTATTATTATTATTATTATTAGTGCCCCCATTGTGGCTGGGGCAACCCAGTCAGATGCAAGGGGTACAAATAAAATAAAATGTTGTTGTTGTTGTTGTTCTTGTTGCAAAAACCCTGTGAGATAGGTGGAAAGGTTGTAACTGCCTGAAGGTGACCAATGTAGATGTGTACCATATTTTTTGCTCTGTAAGACTCACTTTTTCCCTCCTAAAAAGTAAGGGGAAATGTGTGTGCGTCTTATGGAGCGAATGCAGGCTGCGCAGCTATCCCAGAAGCCAGAACAGCAAGAGGGATTGCTGCGCAGCAGCAATCCCTCTTGCTGTTCTGGCTTCTGAGATTCAGAATATTTTTTTTTCTTGTTTTCCTCCTCCAAAAACTAGCAGTTATCACACAGTTTGTGTGTCAGTTTTGCCAGTTCTGCATAGTCCATCAATTTCTCGTGCCACAGTTCTTTAGTCGGGGTTTCCTCATTCTTCCATCCTTGTGCTATTAAGACTCTTGCCGCCGTTGTCACATACATGAAAATATTCTTCAATTTCCTTGGCAGGTCTTTTCCTACAATCCCTAACAGAAATACTTTGGGCTCTTTTAGTTGGAACATTTTCTTCAACTCATTGTATATCATTTCCCAAATTTTTTTAATTTTGCTACAATCCCACCATATATGGTAACCTTCCAACCAAGCTTTAAGCAGCTTTGAGACATTATGCATGCCAGGGTGGAGAGCTCAAAGGCATACCTGCGCACAGAGTTTCCACTTTGGCAACAAACTCTGCATTCAAATCCCACCTTTTTCTCCACGGACCTCAAGGTAGCGCTCATGGTTCCTGCCCCCTCCTCATTCAGTTCACACAACAACCCTGTGAGGTGGGTTAGACTGAGAGGCTGTAACTGGCCCAAGGTCATGAGCGGTGCTGAACTCTCCTTCCTCGGAGGTTTTTAAGCAGAGGTTGGACGGCCATCAGCCATGGATGCTTTAGCTGAGATTCCTGCATTGCAGGGGGTTGGACTAGATGACCCCGGGGTCCCTTCCAACTCTCCCAAGATTCCATGATCTATGAGCCAGCAAACTTCATGGCCACTCCACCAATGTCTTCTCCTATCGGACGTTCATTTGCTCACATCTGAATGTCTCCCTTCTGGCCTTGTCAGCTCTAAACAACTGTTAAAAGAGAAATATGAGCCACCTTCTCCTTTTCACTAGACACTGGTGGCGCTGTGGTCCAAACCACTGATCCTCTTGGGCTTGCCGATCAGAAGGTCGGCAGTTCGAATCCCCATGACGGAGTGAGCTCCCGTTGCTCTGCCCCAACCTAGCAGTTTGAAAGCACACCAGTGTAAGTAGATGAATAGGTACCACTGCGGTGGGAAGGTAAACAGTGTTTCCATGCGCTGCTCTGGTTTCGACAGAAGCAGCTTAGTTATGCTGGCCACATGACCTGGAAAAACTGTCTGTGGACAAATGCCGGCTCCCTCGGCCTGTAAAGTGAGATGAGCACTGAAACCCCAGAGTCATCTGCGACTGGACTTAGCTGTCACGGGTCCTTTACCTTTAATGCCCTTAGGGATGCGGGTGGTGCTGTGGTCTAAACCACTGAGCCTCTTGGGCTTGCTGCTCAGAAGGTCAGGGGTTTGAATCCCCGCGACCAGGTGAGCTCCCGTTGCTCTGTCCCAGCTCCTGCCAACCCAGCAGTTCAAAAGCACACCAGCGCAAGCAGATAAATAGGTACCGCTGTGGCAGGAAGGTAAACGGCATTTCCATGCGCTCTGGTTTCCGTCACTGTGTTCTGTTGCACCAGAAGTGGTTTAGTCCTGCTGGCCACATGACTCGGAAAGTTGTCTGTGGACAAACGCCGGCTCCCTCGGCCTGAAAGCGAGAAGAGTGCCGCAACCCCATAGTCACCTGGATTAATGGAGTTTGCCACCCGCGGAGTCTGCCCTCATCAGAAGTGGGTGTGTGCTTTGGGTTGACAGATCAGGATTTCACATCCTTATGGCTATTTACAGTGTGTCCCTCCTCAAAGACAACAATGCACACCTCCTCAGAGAGAGCAGAACAAGGCGACTCGCTCTTTCTCTCTCTGAAAAGACTCCAGGGGGGATTGACAGCTGAGAGGTCCTGCCTGGAGGCATCAAACACCTGTGCAAATATTGTGTTTTAAGGCTTTATCTGCGCCAACTCCCTTCTAAGTAACTCCTTAGTTACTTCTCATGCCTAACATTTTGAGAAGGCTCAGAGCACCGAAAAGAAGAAGAAGAGTTTGAATTTGATATCCCGGTTTATCACTCCCCTAAGGAGTCTCAAAGCGGCTAACAATCTCCTTTCCCTTCACAACAAACACTCTGTGAGGCGAGTGAGGCTGAGAGACTTCAGAGAAGTGTGACTGGCCCAAGGTCACCCAGCAGCTGCATGTGGAGGAGCGGAGACGCGAACCCGGTTCCCCAGATTACGAGACTACCGCTCTTAACCACTACACCACACTGGCTCTGAAGGCATATCCATAGCAAACAAAGATGTGTGTAGTCAGGGAGCCCTGCCCTGGCTTCACAGTGCAGCACATGCATTGTCCTGGGTTCAAATCCCGGCATCTCCAGTTCAAAGGAACAGAAGGAATTCTCCACTCAGGGCCTTGGGGGAGCTGCTGCCCTTCATTACAGTCATTAATGGGGAAATAGCATTACGGTATTGGTTGCCAATATCATAAGACTGTCCATATCATAAGGCCATTATTATGCAAATCTGTGGCGCGGCCATATTTGGAGTACTGCGAACGATTCTGGTCGCCTCGCCTCAAAGTTGAGTTGGAAAAGGTTCAGAAAAGAGCAGCCAAAAATGATTGAGGGACTGGAGCTCCATGAAGAAAGGTTTGGGACTTTTTAGTTTAAAGGGGAGTAAGGGGGGCACATGGCACATGTTCAGGGAAGTTTTTAATGTTTGATGTTTTAGTGTATTTTTGGTCTCTGTGGAAGCCGCCCAGAGTGGCTGGGGAAACCCAGCCAGATGGGCGGGGTACAAATAATAAATTATTATTATTATTATTATTATTATTATTATTATTATTATTATTGCAGAGATATATAAAATTATGCACAGCGTAAAGAAAAGTAAATAGAGACCCATTTTTTCCCTCCCTCTCTCAGGCCAATGAAGTTGGGAGATCCAAGACAGTACTTTTTAACACCAGCATGGATACCTTTAAAGAGAATTAGATAAGTTCAATGAGGATAGAGCTATCAATGCTGTTAGTCATGATGTCTATGCTCCACCTATGTTGCCGGAAGCCACCGTATTTGTCGTTCGATAAGACGCACCTGACCATAAGACGCACCTAGTTTTTAGAGGAGGAAAACAAGAAAAAAATATATTCTGAACGAAACATTGGATATATGATTTTTGTGGTTCATGCTGTGGCCACAGGCATGTGGTCTGATGGTGAATTTCGGGTGACCCAATGCAAAAATCCTGAGGATCCATGTGGATCCGTGCTTTGTAACCACGTTTTTGTGCCATTGTGGCCCCACAAAACAGTGGATGTGTGATTTTTTTGGTGCAGGCTGTAGGCATGGACATGTTATGTGATCTGATGGTGAATTTGGGGTGACCCAATGCAAAAATCCTGGGGATCCATGTGCTTTTACCTCCCCCCCTCCCAGGCAGCCTCCCTTATCACTAGCGTCCCTTATCTCCCTCCCAATTGCTTGCCGATCAGCTGCTCAGCGGCTTCGTTTCAACGCTCCCTTCCCTCTTTCTAAAAAAAAAGCGCAATCTGCTTTTTGCCCCAGGCAATTCGGCTCCAGGGACCACGCATTCGCTCCATAAGACACACAGACATTTCCCCTTACATTTTAGGAGGGGAAAAGTGCGTCTTATGAAGCGAAAAATACAGTATATGCCACTGCTGAGAACCTCAGAAAGGGATATTGCCCTTGTGCTTGGGTCCAGCAACTGGTATTCAGAACTATAATAGACTCACAGAATCATAGAATTGTAGAGCTGGAAGGGACCCAAGGGTCATCTAGTCCAACCCCCTGCGATGCAGGAATCTCAGCTAAACCATGACAGATGGCTGTCCAACCTCTGCTTAAAAACCTCCAAGGAAGGAGAGTCCACCACCTCCTGAGGGAGACCATTCCACTCTGGAACAGCTCTTTACTGTCAGAAAGGTCTTCCTGGTGTTGAGTTGGAATCTCCTTGCTTGTAATTTGAAGCCATGAGTTCAAGTCCTACCCTCCAGAGCAGGAGAAAGCAAGCTTGCTCCCTCTTCCATGTGACAACCCATGAGATATCTGAAGATGGCTCTCCTATCTCCTCTCAGTCTCCTCTTTTCCAAAACATCCCCAGCTCTTTCAACCGTTCCTCATAAGGCTCAGTTTCCAGACCCTTGGTCATCTTGGTCGCCCTCCTCTGCACACCTTCCAGCTTGTCAACATCCTCCTTAAATAGTGGTGCCCAGAATTGGACACAGGACTCCAGGTGTGGTCTGACCAAAGCAGAATAGAGTGGTCCAAGCTGGTGTGCCGTCACCGGCTCCTGTGACAGCGAGTTCCACAGGTTATTTTTTTAAAAAAGAAATGATTATTCTAATAATAATAATAATTTTTTTAAAAAAATCTGTGGAACTCGCTGTCACAGGAAGTATATGAATTATTTGAAGAGCAACTGTAATCAACAAATTACGCTAGTAGGACTACAAGACGTTTTGTAAGGAGAAATATCCGAAGTGGTACAAAGTGGAAAAAAGATAGAGATATTGGTTATGAGTTTGAAATGTAATAGGGAAGATAAGAAATGCATGCTAAGAGATTAGATTGGAAAATTTTCAGACAAGATTGATGGAAGTCGAAAAAATGGAATAAGATGCAAAAGTATGTTTAATTACTGTTGAAAATGATATGTTAAAAAACTAATAAAAATTTATATATTATTATTATTATTAATACCCCACCCATCTCCCTGGGTTTCCCCAGCCACTCTGTGATGTGCAAAAGTGCTTTCTTTTATCTGCCCTGAATCTTCATCTGATTCCCACGAGTTCTAGAGCTAAGCGAGAGGGAGAAAGTACTTTTCTTTCCCCATGCAACGCATCCTTTTATAAACTTCTCTCATGTCACCTCTTCCGAGAAACGTCTCTCCTTATCTCCCCAGCCCTGAGGCTCTGGGGACCTAGCCACATCACTCACGGAGCCCAAGATCTCTTCTCCTATAAACACGAATCCCCGCTCCCCTTCGGAAGAATTGCAGATGACAGCCTTCTGCAATCTTTACAAAGTCCTTCCCGCAAAGAGTGCACAGATGGCCTTCTGGCGAAGTCCCTGTTGTCTAATGGTCTTTCTGCTCCCATTCATCAAACATGAGCTAATGGTGTGTTGGCTGCCGTTGCGCGATGCTCAAGCCCAGACTGCATCCATCAATCTCTCCATTTAGGCCTGCTGTAAATCTCGCTGCGCCAAGCTCCTTACAGAGCTGTAAAGGGAGATACAAAACTTGCAGGGCTAGGTAAAGGTAAAGGGACCCCTGACCATTAGGTCCAGTCCTGGCCGACTCCGGGGTTGCGGCGCTCATCTTGCTTTATTGGCCGAGGGAGCAGGTATACAGCTTCCGGATCATGTGGCCAGCAGGACTAAGCCGCTTCTGGCGAAACCAGAACAGCGCACGGAAACGCCGTTTACCTTCCTGCGACAGTGGTACCTATTTATCTACTTGCACTGGTGTGCTTTCGAACTGCTAGGTAGGCAGGAGCAGGGACCGAGCAATGGGAGCTGACCCCGTCGCAGGGATTCGAACCGCCGACCTTCCGATCAGCAAGCCCAATAGGCTCAGTGGTTTAGACCACAGCGCCACCTGCGTCCCTTAGAAGAAAGCAGGGACTCGAAACAAAGTCTCTCGTGCCAAGCAGTGCATTCACAAGCCAAAGCTGATATCCCATTGTGGCTTCACATCCTTCCCACCCCATTTGGATTGTCGTAAGGTCTGACCTCATGGGAAGCTGCCTCTGGGTGCTCTAGATTCCGAAGACTTGCTAAAAATGTGGGTCTGCATATTTTCACGCTGGAAAGATAAACAGTGGGCATTGAGTCTGCAGAATCTAGACCCTCTGAGCCTGCGAAGGATGAGCGCATTGTATATAGGCCTCCTGGGGGAGAAACAAGAGTGTGGATTATTATCAGGGGGCACTTCCTGGCTCAAATGTATGGAACGGTTTCCCAAGGAACTGTGCCAAAACACCCAACCTAGAGGCAGTAGGAAACTGAATCGGGGGCGAAATGCGAGGCGATAATGAACTCGGCTTGCATCAGCAGGGATGAATTTTGCTGTTTGCGTCACCGATTGTTCACTGTCCGCTGTGCCGTTAAGTGCATTAAACTGCATGACTTTGGGCCATGTTAATATTTGGATTTAATTTCGAATTGAAAGCAGCCCGACCAAGTCTGCAGAAGTCATTGGGGTGGTTTGCAAGGGACCTCTTTGAGCTGCGCTGATTTCTGGGAATCTCAACGCTTTATGCGACGGAAACCTGACACACACCCAGCCTAACTGTTATGTACTGAAGTTTTCACCCTGGGCCAGCAGGGGGATACTGTAGATAGTTATGCAAATGAAGGATCGAAAGTGACGTTCAGTGATTGGATAGTTTGTATGCAAATGAAGGATTGAAAGTGACGTTCAGTGATTGGATAGTTTTAGAAAGTTGCAACAGTTACATTGTTCTGGAGCTCTATATAAGCAGGCTGACTGAGCTCCTCAGTTCAGTTCTGTTCCAGCTTACAAATAAAGAGCTGCTTTGGAAAAATCGCTGTGTCGTCTGATATGTTCGTCCACAACATAACACTAACCTTTTCTAAAAATGTATCGTTGAAATTAAATCGAAGGATTAAAAGGCTTTCACCGGTGCTGAAAACTCCATGCCTAGCGAGCTTCTCTGTAGGGTGGCAATTCCGCAAATAGGGTGCCACCACCGAAAAGGCCTTCTCCTAAGAGGGCACCTGGCTAACTTCAGTGGGGCACCTGGAAAAAGGGTCTCCGGTGAAGATCAAAGGACCAGGCAGGTACATACTAATGGTAGAAGGTGATCCTTCAGATAACCTGCTCCCAAAACAAGGTTGTATCTGTTGACGATAGCAACACTAAGCATGTTGACAATAACAAATGCTATTTGGGAAACCAACGTCCCCCAAACATTCAGGGGACGGTTGCCACGTTCCTCCCTCCTTGCTTCGGAGCTTCACAAAGGCAGCGCTGCTGGAGAGAGTGAACTGGAGCTTGCTCTTAGAAATTGCCTTGCAAGATCCGGCGGTTTGCTTACCGCTTATTATACTGGGGGAAAGCTCATTGTTAGGACAGGCAGGAGACAAGGAGCCCAGGAGAGTGTTGTCCATAAAATTGCTGGGGTAACTCAGTTGGTAGAGCATGGGTCATGGGTTCGAGTCCTACTTTGGGCAAAGAGATTCCTGCATTGCAGGGGGTTGGACTAGATGACCCTTGTGTTCCCTCTCAACTCTTCTATGATGCTGCTGCTTCTTCTGTGATCACTTGTAATCGAGTAAGATCAGGGGTCAGCAAACCTTTTCAGCAGGGGGCCGGTCCACTGTCCCTCAGACCTTGTGGGGGGACAGACTATATTTTGGGGGGAAAATGAATGAATTCCTATGCCCCACAAATAACCCAGAGATGCATTTTAAATAAAAGCACACATTGTACTCATGTAAAAACACACTGATTCCCAGTCATGTGGCCAGCATGACTAAGCCGCTTCTGGCGAACCAGAGCAGCGCACGGAAATGCTGTTTACATTCCCGCCGAAGTGGTACCTATTGATCTACTTGCACTGGTATGCTTTTGAACTGCTAGGTTGGCAGGAGCTGGGACAGAGCAACGGGAGCTCACCCCGTCGCGGGGCTCGAACCACCGACCTTCTGATTGGCAGGTTCTAGGCTCTGTGGTTTAACCCACAGCGCCACAGGGTTATAAAGACTAGGACTAGCCGCCTGAGAAACAGTTTCTATCCAAATGTGATTTTGATTTTCAACGTAGTGTAAGGTAGTCTCTATGGGAGTATGTTGTTGTTGTTTAGTCGTTTAGTCGTGTCTGACTCTTCGTGACCCCGTGGACCAGAGCACGCCCGGCACTTCTGTCTTCCTATGGGAGTATATTGTATTTAATTATGGGGTATCAGAGTTTTTAGGGGGTCTACCAGGCTGGGATAGCTGGGATAGCAGCCTTGTTGGTTTTTGAATGTCTGATGTAATTTTTTTCAGTTTCGTTGTTCTGTATGGGACAATGACAATAGAGATTATCGTATCGTAATTTAGGGAATTGTGGGTTCAAATCAGCCCGCTTCTGAACTCATCCTCCTCCCCTTTTCCAAAGACGCGCGCCCCTAGCATTCCAAAGAGGATGGAGATCAGGTTAGAGCTCCCCGGGATGGACGTGGAGCAGGTGTCAACGGAGGGTGGCGGCTGCAGGAGCCAGGCAGCAGCGGGAGCCTCCGACGGGGCGGGCTTGGAGGGCTGGCCCGGGGCGTGTCTGCCCTCCCTCCCCACCGCCTTCCCTGCTGTCCGCCCCGCGCGCCGCTTCCCGGAGCCAGAGCGCAGCGCAGGTTCCCACGCGCCGGCGAGGAGGCTGCCTCGCGCCTCCAGCCAGGACAGAGAGAGAGACCCCTAGCCCGCAGGAAGAGGAGGACACGATCCGGTAAGGCTGCCTGGGAGAGAGAGGGAGAGAGAGGAGGGGAGCCGGACCTCGCCTGGGGCTGCCTGCGTTTGCTTCAGCTGGAAACCCCCCACCCTCTTTGGAGAAGGGTGCGCCAAAGACCTGGGGTTGGGGAAGGTTGGTTGGGTGGGTGCCTTTCCAGAGACGCCCCTTGGGGCTTCCCGGAGGTGCCTTCCGTGGTTCCAAGTCGCTTACAAACTGAGCGTTACGTCTCCATAATTATAATTGATTGACTGATCTTTTTATGAGGCACCTAACTGCAGAAAAGCCTCTTAGACAAAAATCAAGAGCCCAAAACGGCATTATTCTCGTTGCTTTGTTAAGAGAGAGACTTGGTGTCAGGACAGCTGCTGGGCTTGCAGAAGGCCCCGGGTTCAGTGCTGGAGATCTCCAGTTCTAAGAGGGTCAAGGGATGGGAGATAGCTCTGTCTCTTTGCCTGAGACCCTGAAGAGAGTAGATTGGCACCCCCAAGCTGGTCAAGGATTCGAGCTTCCTCTTATTGGTGGAGCACCTGCTCTGACTGCAGAACGTCTCAGGTTCAAGGTCTGGCATCGACTACGGCTTCAGGGATCAGGCAGTAAGTAATGGGGGAAGACCACCCATCCGCCATGCTCCAGGTTGAGACCATGGACAGCTGCAAGTGGTCTAGAAGGCAGCTCCTTACATTCTGCGACCACCACAGCCGCTCCTGCCATTTTTGGATTCAATAGGCAAATGGGCTTCTCATATCCCAGTCTTGGTTGAACATCTGTCCAGCATCTCCCCTGAAAAGGGGAGCCACGCTGGTGGGAACTGCCTCTCTCAGAGACCCCCAAAGCCCTCCAGAGTGAACCCTGCTAGACAAAACAGACCAATAGCCTGCTGACCTGGTTCGTCATAGGTTTTGGATAGTCTTTCTGGTTTTTCGTGGGGTTTTTTTTGCACAGAAATTTGATGCCACCGTTGCCAAATGAATTTAACAGCTTTAAAGCTGTATTGAAGTGCCAAGCTATGTGATGTCAGAAAATCTGATCGCAAAGCCCCTATGTCTTTTTCTCTACTTGAAGGGAGAGGAGGGGAGCTGTAGGGACCAGGGGGTTAACCCTTTCCCCTCCTGACTACTATTAACTCTGGGTTTGGTTTGGTTTCAAGGCAGGTGTTGTTGTTTTTGTTTAGACGTTTAGTCGTGTCCGACTCTTCGTGGCCCCCTGGACCAGAGCACTCCAGGCACTCCTGTCTTCCACTGCCTCCTGCAGTTTGGTCAAACTCCTGCTGGTAGCTTCGAGAACACTGTCCCACCATCTTGTCCTCTGTCGTCCCCTTCTCCTTGTGCCCTCCATCTTTCCCAACATCAGGGTGTTTTCCAGGGAGTCTTCTCTTCTCATGAGGTGGCCAGAGTCTTGGAGCCTCAGCTTCAGGATCTGTCCTTCCAGTGAGCACTCAGGGCGTACCTGTTTCTTCATTGCAGCTGGAAGGAAGGGCCAGTCCTCATGCAACCCACACTGCTGCTTTCAATCGAAGAAAAGGACCTTGAGGGATCTATCTGTTCTCATATATAGATAGCAAGCCTCTCTGAGCCTTTGGCTCAACAGCCATCTCAAATCAATACGTAGTCCATGGAATGCCAAGGGAAGGCACCTTTGAGTTAACTTAATTGAGTTAAACTGTGGAACTCACTGCCACAGGAGGCAATGGTGGCCACCAACCTTGATGCCTGGGTTATACAAATACATGGAGGAGAGGGCCGTTGATGGCTCAAAGCCATAAGGGCTGTCCTTTGCCACCGCATGGAAGCAGCAATGCTTATCGGTTTCTGGGAAATGCAGGTGGGAAGAGTTGCTCTCATGCTCAAATCCTGCTTGTGGGTTTCCCTGGTCGGCCACCGTGAGAAGAGGATGCTGGACTAGATGGGCCATTTAGCACTCCTTATGCTCTTCCGTGGAGTTTTCTTGGCAGGGATACTGGAGCGGCTTGCCGGTCCGTCTAGTTAAAGCTGTGGTTTTCCCAGTAGTGATGTATGGAAGTGAGAGCTGGACCACAAAGAAGGCTGATCGCCGAAGAATGGATGCTTTTGAATTATGGTGCTGGAGGAGACTCTTGAGAGTCCCATGGACTGCAAGAAGATCAAACCTCTCCATTCTGAAGGAAATCAGCCCTGAGTGCTCACTGGAAGGACAGATCCTGAAGCTGAGGCTCCAATACTATGGCCACCTCATGAGAAGAGAAGACTCCCTGGAAAAGACCCTGATGTTGGGAAAGATGGAGGGCACAAGGAGAAGGGGACGACAGAGGACGAGATGGTGGGACAGTGTTCTCGAAGCGACCAGCATGAGTTTGACCAAACTGCGGGAGGCAGTGGAAGACAGGAGTGCCTGGCGTGCTCTGGTCCATGGGGCCACGAAGAGTCGGACACGACTAAACGACTAAACGACAACAATGCTCTTCCGAGCTGTTAGTTTAGCAAAAGCGCTCTCTTCTCCAAACACCATTCGAAATAGCAGCTGAGTGGAATCAGAGTGCTGGGCTATCTAAGGATCGGTATATATGCCTTGTGTTCCTTTGTCTGGTAGTGGATATCATAACAGCCTGGGAGGCAGGGATGGAGGCCAACATATTTTCGAGACGGGGGCAAATTTATGGAGCCCAGCAACCTCTGAAGAGAGAAGAATTACAGTGTGTGGATGCCTGTTACTTAGCACCCACAGAGGCATAACACAATCTATATAAATTTGGAAGCGCTGGCATTTTGGACATTTAGAAGACCCCCCCCAATAGTCAAGATCCCTCATAATCTGCTTAGTAAAACTTTTAGAGAACATGACTGTTTTTCTAGAACTCACCCTGAACACCTTCCTCGTTCTCTTAGAATTGAAATGATGCCCACAGAGTTATGGGGGGGGGGAGCCCTGGAAATAGATGATAGATAGATAGATAGATAGATAGATAGAGGTGAAGGGACCCCTGACCATTAGGTCCAGTCGTGGCCGTCTCTGGGGTTGCAGCGCTCATCTCGCTTTACTGGCCGAGGGAGCCGGTGTACAGCTTTCGGGTCATGCGGCCAGCAGGACTAAGACGCTTCTGGAGAACAGTGCATGGAAACACTGTTTACCTTCCCGCCGGCACGGTACCTATTTATCTACTTGCACTTTGACGTGCTTTCGAACTGCTAGGTTGGCAGGAGCTGGGAATGAACAATGAAACCTCACCCCGTCGCGGGGATACAAACCACCCGCCTTCTGATTGGCAAGTCCTAGGCTCTGTGGTTTAACCCACAGCGCCACCCGCGTCCCTCAGATAGATAGAAAGAAAGAAAGAAAGAAAGAAAGAAAGAAAGAAAGAAAGAAAGAAATTAAAAGTATCTCAGTGCTTTGGTAGTATTGCTTAGTTCAGGAAAGCAAGAAAATGGGAATGGAAGCTTGGGAAATTATGCTAGCATGTCTTGAAAGTGGGTCGATCTTCAGACTGGAACTTTGAGTTCACCCACTGAAAGGGATTTGCAATGGATTTGGGAAACACCAAGGTTTTTAGACAGTGTGTTTTTTAGTTTATGCAATTCTCATAAATTGGACGCTGCCTCTGATAACCTGAAAATAGGACTAGTCGTTGAGATACAAAAAAAGCCCATCACTATTCTCTAAATGCATCCTCTGTCTCAATACAGCATTTTATGATCTGTAAAAGAATACGAACAACATTAGCAAAACAGCAACCCAAAAAACAAACTGTTCAGTTTATACACACAGTCTCCCATAGGTGCTAACTCCCCGTGGCCCTGGGTGCCCGAGCACCCACAAAATTCCCCATGAATGGGCCGGGCACCCAGAAATGTTGGTGCCAGGGCCATGTACACTGGATGGCACCCAAGGCCCCTGGGCACCAATGATCATGGAGCCAAGTTGGCATTCCTGCATTCTTCACAGCCCCGTGACTCATAATCTTTCACTCTGTTCGGATCATTAAAACACACGTACACATATGTGTCTGTGGTTTTATGCATGCTTTACCCGTGGGTGTGTGGGTGTGTGTTTGAATGAATTCTTGCACTTGGCTGTTGCAAAATTCGGGGAAGCGCAATTTTGGAAGGAGGGTTACGTTGTGGTTTGCGTCTTATTCTGGAAAGTGCAATTTCGTGTGAACTGAATGAAATTTCCTCCGCGTATCCTTCCTTCTCCGGTTGCCCTCCCCCTGGGCTGACCTTGGGGAGCTCAGTCAGTCGATCATGAGACTCTCAAATGGATGGAAAGCCACAAGACTCTTAATCTCAGGGTTGTGGGTTTGAGCCCCATGTTGGGTGAATGATTTCTGCATGGCAGGGGGTTGAGATAGATGATTGTCGTGGTCCCTTCCAACTCTACAATTCTATGATTCCTCTCTCTCTCTCTCTCTCTCTCCCTCCCTCCCTCGCATTCCTGCTTTCCCTGCCTCTTCTGCATCTCCTCCTACTCCTCCTTTCAACTCCCTTCTCAAGCAAAGCTTTATTTTGCACTTCCATTAGCATTCCTCTGGCTGCTTCTCCATCTCAGAAAGGACTTTCTCTTTTCTCTTTCGAGCAATCCTTGACCAGCGCAATATTGATGTGAAATTGATGCATTAGTACAGGGATCGGCAACCTAAGGCCCATGGGGGTCATTTAACCGGCCCATAATAATAATAATAATTTATTATTTATACCCCGCCCATCTGGCTTGGTTTCCCCAGCCACTCTGGGTGGCTTCCAACAAAGTATTAAAATACAGTAGTCTGTTAAACATTAAAAGCTTCCCTAAACAGGGCTGCCTTCAGATGTCTTCTAAAAGTCTGGTAGTTGGTCTTCTCTTTGACATCTGGTGGGAGGGCGTTCCACAGGGCGGGTGCCACTACTGAGAAGACCCTCTGCCTGGTTCCCTGTAACTTGGCATTAGGCCCAGTCGTGGCCGACTCTGGGGTTGCGGCGCTCATCTCGCTTTACTGGTTGAGGGAGCCGGCGTACAGCTTCCAGGTCATGTGGCCAGCATGACTAAGCCGCTTCTGGCGAACCAGAGCAGCACACAGAAACGCTGTTTACCTTCCCACTGGAGTGGTACCTATTTACCTACTTGCACTTTGAGGGGCTTTTGAACTGCTAGGTTGGCAGGAGCTGGGACAGAGCAACGGGAGCTCACCCCGTCGCAGGGATTCAAACCGCCAACCTTCTGATCGGCAAGTCCTAGGCTCTGTGGTTTAACCCACAGCGCCACCCGCGTCCCTTATAAGGGAACTTACCAGGAATGTAATATTGAGAGGCTTAAACAAGCCTGCAACCACCAATCTGGTGTGCGTTTAAAAGGGGAATGTGAAACTCTGCTAAGTTATAGAAATTGCAAGCGCAAGTTATTATTATTATTAAACAATATATCCTCTCCTGCCTCTCTGAACAGGAAGCACAAAGGGGCTCCCCCCCCCCCATGCAACCCTGTGCACCTTCCCAAAAGTTGCTTTGGGGTGGGGTCAGGAGACACACACCCCTCCAGGACAGTAGGCAGGGATGGAAGGGGAGATGGTTCTCTCCGGGAAGAAGAAATGCTTTCAAGGGCGGAACTATCTGCTTAGTGCTGCACTGAATTCCACCCTGTATTTATTTACATTCCTTGCCCTTCTTCCGAAAGTTGCTCAGGGCTATCACCTTTGGTCAGTCACAGTCTCTCAGCCTAACCTGCCTCACAAGGTTGTTGTAAGGATAAAGTAGAGACAGGGAGAAAGGGTGCCTGCCACTCTGAGCTCCTTGGAGGAATGTTGGGATAGAAACGTAATAACAACTAATAAATATGTTGTTGTTGTTGTTGTTTAGTCGTTTAGTCATGTCCGACTCTTCGTGACCCCCTGGACCAGAGCACGCCAGGCACTCCTGTCTTCCACTGCCTCCCACAGTTTGGTCAAACTCATGCTGGTAGCTTCGAGAACACTGTCCAACCATCTCATGCTCTGTCGTCCCCTTCTCCTTGTGCCCTCCATCTTTCCTAACATCAGTGTCTTTTCCAGGGAGTCTTCTCTGCTCATGAGGTGGCCAAAATATTGGAGCCTCAGCTTCAGGATCTGTCCTTCCAGTGAGCACTCAGGGCTGATTTCCTTCAGAATGGATCAGTTTGATCTTCTTGCAGTCCATTGGACTCTCAAGAGTCTCCTCCAGCACCATAATTCAAAAGCATCAATTTTTCAGCGATCAGCCTCCTTTATGGTCCAGCTCTCACTTCCATACATCACTACTGGGAAAACCATAGCTTTTGACTATACGGACCTTTGTTGGCAAGGTGATGTCTCTGCTTTTAAGATGCTGTCTAGGTTTGTCATTGCTAATAAATATACACATCGATAATTAAACAAAACTATGAAAACTAAAAAAAAACAATTAAAACATCTAAAAAATATTATTATTAGTAATAATAAAAATTATTTGCAGCTGTCATGTAAGATTGGGCTTTCAACAGCTTCCAATACGTGGATAAAAATTAAAAGGTTTGCCAATAAACATCAGCACATATGAATAATTCAGTTCCAGCAATTCGGTGAATAGGTACGATTTGAATGATTTAGCAGCTCGTTAAGTTTTAATTGTACAACAGATTGACACCAGTATTGTCAAATATTAACAAATAAGTTCTCCAAGGTATAAATTGATCTGCAAGGATCTAGAGGGCTGCATAAATAACAGCAAAATGCATGACACTAATACGAAATTATAAGCTATTCTTCCTCTTTTCTGCCTAAATTCCCTGTGTGGTAAAAACCACCCATACCCACCTGTTCCCTGCCTGGTGGTAGCAACTGAGTCGATGACTTTAAAGTGATTGTGTCCACTAATTGTTAGTGGGACCAAGGGGGAAGAAATGTTGAAAAGGATCGTTCGGCAGAATGTGTGCAAATACTTAAAAGTACAGGTATCTGGTGGGTTCAGATTCCTAAGCTGTGCTGGGAAGAGCTTTGTTTACGCAATTGTGTGTTAACCCTCATTGATCGGTGCAGAGACGCAAAGCCATTCCCCTCCTTTTCATAAGATCTGTCTAATGGTTTCTTTGCTGCTGCTATTTGGGTGTAGCCCAGAGCTGGAAATAGCCAAGATGGAAAAAGGAAAGAAGGTTTAGAAGCCTATTACTTTTCGAAGAAATCAACTGGGGCCTGGAGGGGCTAATTGGTAGATGTTTTCAATTAAGTCTATTCATCATAAATACCGCTCGTTGTGGGGCGAACAAACAAACAAGGGTGGGTCCTTTGCTTGCACGTCCCATTTGTGGCTTCCCAGAAGCTTCTGTTACAAACGGGATGCTCAGCTCGGCAGACCTGTTAATGTCTTCGAGAGGATTCCCTGATTCTTGTCTAAAGCCGTCCTCTCTTAAAAGCCGTTCGATGTGGGCGGCGTGTCTTTCAAAGCTATGTGCAGGTTCTTGCAGATTTACGAACTGTGATATCTCGGTCAGGAGCGAGCAGCAATAAATCACACCAATGAGTTGGAGTTAACTCTTTGTTCGCAAAACAGGATCTGCACAGGGGTCAGGGTTTGGCTCAGAAGCAGGCCAGTGCAAAGAAACAGAGTCAGTTGTCAGTGAAGCAGACCCTCCAACATTTCTCTGATGAAAATAAGGATTTCCTTAATAACAACAACAACAACAACAACAACAACAACCTGCCCATCTGACTGGGTTGTCCCAGCCACTCTGGGCGGCTTCCAACATAAATAAAAACATCATAAAACTTAAAACATTAAAAACCTTCCCTATCCAGGGCTGCCTTCAGATGTCTTCTAAAAGTTGTATAGTTACTTATCTCCTTGGTTCTCGGGGTTGCATAGCTCCATACCCTCCAACATTTCTCCGATGAAAAGAAGGACATCTTAAAGAAAAGCGGAACATTCCAGGATCAAATCAGAAACTGGGATAGCTTCTGTAAATTTGGGACACTTGGAGGGTCTGATAAAGTTATTCTTTATTCGAGGCAATGCCTTGAATACAACTCCGCAACCCTTCCCCAGTAGGTCTTGCCCAGGCACCCCCAAACCCGGACCTCCAGATGTTTTTGGGACTACAACTCCCATCATCCCTAGCTGGCAGGACCGGTGGTCAGGGATGATGGGAATTGTAGTCCCGAAATATCTGGAGGGCCGAGTTTGGGTGTGCCTGGTCTTGCCACTCTAGAGCAGTTGCCAGAAATGAAGGTGCCTTCCTTCCACCCTTTCCTCCACTGCCAGATGTTTCCCAAGCACACCTTTGGCATCTGTTCTGCTCTCCTCATTATTCTGCACATTCTTGGAGACCAGGGGGGATGGGAGCTTGTCACAGCAGGAGAGGGAGACTCCAGGGATTCTTTGATGGTCTCTTAACCCCCCCCCCCTCTGCTTCAGCCTCAGCATCTGAACTGCTCCCTGTCACAGCTTCCTCCTGCTCACGAAATCCTGTTGCCCCTTCAGCCCCTATCACCTCCTTCCAATCTTCTCCCTCTGACCTGCTGTTGTCCAGCCAGTCCCTTACAACAGGCCTATAATGATTTATTATAATAATTTGTTACTTATACCCCACGCATCTGGCTGGGTTTCTTGGCGGCTCCCAACAGAATATTATTAATAATAAAGCAGCAATAAAACATCAAACATTAAAAACTTCCCTAAACAGAGCTGCCTTCAGATGTCTTCTAAAAGTCAGATCATTGTTTATTTCCTTGACATCCGATGGGAGAGCATTCCACAGGATGGGCGCCACTACCGAGAAGGCCCTCTGCCTGGTTCCCTGTAACTTGGCTTCTTGCAGTGAGGGAACTGCCAGAAGGCCCTCGGCGCTGGACCTCAGTGTCTGGGCAGAACGATGGAGGTGGAGACGCTCCTTCAGGTATACTGGGCTGAGGCCATTTAGGGCTTTAAAGGTCAGCACCAACACTTTGAATTGTGCTCGGAAACCTACTGGGAGCCAATGTAGGTCTTATATGGTCCAGTGTTATATGGTTGCAGCTGCCACTCCCAGTCACCAGTCTAGCTGCCACATTCTGGAATAGTTGCAGTTTCTGGGTCACTTTCAAAGGCAGCCCCATGTAATAGCTGGCAAGTGTCCCTTATTTGAAGGGACAGTCCCTTATTCCAGCGCCATGTCCCGCTGCTGTCCCTTATTGATGGATGTCCCTTAAATGTCCCTTAAATTTCAAAGGAAGCAGCTCCTCTCCCTCCCTCCCTGCCAGCCAGGGAGGAGGGAGGCTCCAACTGTGTTGCTTGGCTGTGTTGCTCATCCAATAAGAAGTCTAAGAACGACTGGGGCATGGAGCTTGCATGCCTTGTGTGTGGCTAGTTAATGCAAGCTGAGGGTATTTTTGAATGCTGGACGCCATTTTGTTGCACATGCTGCTGCAAACTTTGCAGTGCAAAGCCAGGCCGGGGAGCCATCTTAAGCTGAGGCTGCATAGGCCTTGTGGTGCATGTGATTCAGATTCTGTTCAGTTGAACCTCTGGTTAGAAAGTTGGTTGGACAGTGTTCTCGAAGCTACCAGCATGAGTTTGACCAGACTGCAGGAGGACAGGAAGACTGGAGTGCCTGGAACAGGTGAGGCTGCAGGTCCCTTATTTTGGCTGCTGGTCCCTTATTTTCAAGGCTGCTGGTCCCTTATTTTCAAATCTGTAAGTTGACAGCTATGCCCCATGTAGAGCGCATTGCAGTAGTCCAAGCGGGAGATAACCAGAGCATGTACTACTCTGGCGAGACAGTTTGTGGGCAGGAAAGGTCTCAGCCGGTGTACCAGATGGAACTGGTAAACAGCTGCCCTGGACACAGAATGAGCACAGCAGCTCATCTCCGACAGGTCTTTCCCCCATGAAGCAGTTGTGGTGACTAAATATCCCTGCCTCCCCACAACTGGCCATGTCTCCTTCTCTCCAGGGTGATTTCCAACCAATCAGAGACAGAGACTGTGCCTGCATTCCTCCCTTTGCTCCTCTCACTTCATGCCTCCGCCATGGACCACTTGAAAACTGCTGGAGGTCTGGGTGGACCACTTAATGATTTTTCTTCCTGCAAGAAGCTGGAACGTGTGCAGAGGAGGGTGACCAAGATGCTCAAGGGTCTGTTAACCAAGCCTTATAAGGAACAGTGGAGGGAGTTGGGGATGTTTATCCTGGAGAACAGGAGGTATGATAGCCATCTTCAAAAATCTGATGGGCTGCCCTGTGGAAGATAGAGCAAGCTTGTTTTCTGCTGCTCAAACCAATGGATTCAAGTTAGTAAGAAGGAGATTCCGACTCAAAATCAGGAAGAACTTAAAATAACAGAAATTAAATGTGCCTTTGGCTTGTTTGTAATGTTTAGAAAGATGAGCAAAATGGATTTTTTACTTCTGTTGTCTAGTCATCTAGTACAACCTCCTGCAATGCAGGAATCTCAGCTGAAGCATCCACTTTCAAATACAGTGGTACCTTGGTTCTCAAACGCCTTGGTACTCAAACAACTTGGAACCCAAACACTGCAAACCTGGAAGTAATTGTTCCGGTTTGCGAACTTTTTTCGGAACCCAAACGTGCTCCGTTTTGAGTGTTATGCTTCCAATCTGAGTGCCGCACTCCTGTATTGAGTTTTACGCTGCGGTCTGTATGTTTTTGCTATTTATTTTGTGTTTTTGTTTTCGCGGCTCTTTTTGTTTTGTTTTTGTGACTGTGTGGAACCCAGTTCAGCTACTAATTGATTGATTGACGGCAGTTCATTGTTTATTGCTTTCATTTTATGGTTCAGTGGTCCCGTTCGATGGTAAAATTCATGTTAAACTGCTGTTTTAGGGGTTGTTTTTAAAAGTCTGGATTTTTCATTTTGCATTACTTTCTGTGGGAACGCTCGTCTTGGTTTTGGAACGCTTTGGGTTTAGAACGGACTTCTAGAACGGATTAAGTTTGAGAACCAAGGAACCACTGTAGCTCTTACTGTCAGAAATTTCTTCCTGATGAAACCCTTAAAAACTGGCTGGCCAGTGGGTGGGGGTGACTCCAGTGGGCTGCCCCTCCCTGGGGAACACTCCACCACTGACTGTGAGAACGGGGCTGGACAAAGTGGAAACTGCTCTCCTCAGGCAGGTTTGCCTTATGTTCTTATGTTCTTAAGGAGTTTGGAGAACAGGGCTTTAGGCAGAAAGGAAATCCTGCTGTGTGTTCTGTTTCCCAGAAAGAATGTTGAGAATTAAAAGGCAGTTGGAAGTCAGCAAGTAATTAAAATTCTTCCGGGGGTGAAAGTTATGGGTAATAAAGAGGCTCTTTAAGTCCAGCGGAGCAGACAGGCCCAGTGTCAACCGTTGGCGCGTGAAAGTCGAACCCTGGCAAATTTTACATGGGCAGCAAGGGACGGACAGGAGGGGCGTCAATCAACCCTTGGAGTGCTTGCTACCTCTGTGCTGCAGGTGTCGGTTCAGCTATCCACATGGCATTCCCCGGAAAAGTGCAATCATCGGAGCGCAAAGTAACGAGGCTCTGATGTCGCTCCTTCAAGCTTTAATTGATTAAATTGCTGCAATTAATCAACTGGGGTTTGATTGCAAGTTCAGGTCTGATTAATGACTTGGCTGATGAGAAGCAAAGACTCGGGGGGAGTGTTTCCTAAATTTCCAGTACCTAAGGCACAGAGATGCCCCCCCTCGAATTAAAAGTGGGAGGGTACTTTTGAGCCATTTGGGGCCATCATTGTTGTTGTTGTTTAGTCGTTTAGTCGTGTCCGACTCTTCGTGACTCCCTGGACCAGAGCACGCCAGGCACTCCTGTCTTCCACTGCCTCCCGCACTTTGGTCATACTCATGCTGGGAGCTTCGAGAACATTGTCCAACCATCTCATCCTCTGTCATCCCCTTCTCCTTGTGCCCTCCATCTTTCCCAGCATCAGGGTCTTTTCCAGGGAGTCTTCTCTTCTCATGAGGTGGCCAAAGTCTTGGAGCCTCAGCTTCAGGATCTGTCCTTCCAGTGAGCACTCAGGGCTGATTTCCGTCAGAATGGATAGGTTTGATCTTCTTGCAGTCCATGGGACTCTCAAGAGTCTCCTCCAGCACCAGAATTCAAAAGCATCCATTCTTCGGCGATCAGCCTTCTTTATGGTCCAGCTCTCACTTCCATACATCACTACTGGGAAAACCATAGCTTTAACTATTCGGACCTTTGTTGGCAACGTGATGTCTCTGCTTTTTAAGATGCTGTCTAGGTTTGTCATTGCTTTTCTCCCAAGAAGCAGGCGTCTTTTAATTTTGTGACTGCTGCCACCATCTGCAGTGATCATGGAGCCCAAGAAAGTAAAATCTCTCACTGCTTCCATTTCTTCCCCTTCTATTTGCCAGGTAGGTGATGGGACCAGTGGCCATGATCTTCGTTTTTTTGATGTCTGGATACATAAGAATTTTATTATTTTATTTATTTATTTATTTATTTATTTATTTATTTATTTATACATCCCCCGCCAATCTGGCTGAGTTTCCCCAGCCACTCTGGGCGGCTCCCAATCGAGTGTTAAAAACAATACAGCATTCAATATTAAAAACTTCCCTAAACAGGGCTGCCTGGCTGAAATCCTACCGAATGCATGGCTGAAATCCTACCGAAATCTGAACGGAGATATCGAGGGGGAGAGGCAGGCCTGTGTGAAAGGTCGCTGGTGGTTTTCGAAAGATATACAGAAGGTCCTAAATTTAATTTCCAGTAGCATCTCCAAGTAGAAAGAATCCTATCTGAAACCTCAGAGTCACTGCCAGTTGGGACAGAAGACTCGGCTAGTTGTACCAATGCCATCACCTTCCTATGTCCCCAAAATTGCTGCAGCTGGTCTTGTTTTGAGTGGGAGAACTGGGGATATTTCAAAATCGCCCATTCCGGTACATGTTAGGCAAAATTCACCTGGTGAGTTTCCATGAGGAATATTTTTTTTTAAAATGCAAACCTGATGCGCAGAACTGAACTCAGATTGGAAAGATGCAAATCGGGAGAGATTTGCACTCCGCTGGTTGCTCTCCAATCCCTCCCCATCCTAGTCCTTCGCCCTCCTTACTCCCTTTGGGTCTGTCAAGGCTGCAGCGCCGACAGTGGAGGCCACAGCTGGCAGAGTTTCCCCTCTCGGGATCTAGACTCCAGACATAACAAACCGTTCCTTTTCAGCCACCCTGTCGAGTGGCCAATCTCCCTCGCATTCCTCCCTCTCTGGCATCATCTAGCACCTCCTGGCTTCAAGGTCTGTGGCGTTTTCTTCCGAGTGGTTCTCCCGCCAGCCCCTTGCTCTCTCGGTTCCTTCTCACCTCTGCCCTTCCTTGCCATCCCTGGCCTCCACTGCAAATGCTTCCAAATGCGGTTTTTTGCCATAATGTACGCAAGCTTGCAAAGCAGTTTCTGTGGGAATGTTCTGAGTGGCAGGAGATGATATATTGTTTATTCATATCCTTCCTAACTTGCGCTAGCAAGTTCCTTTACTTAGCAGAGTTACATTCCCCTTTTGACATCCACAGCAAATGTCTGGTTGCAGGCTCGTGTGAGCCTCTCACTACAGTGAACCCTCTAGTTACGTACCACTCTGGATATGTAACTTTCGGGTTATGAACGTGGCAAACCCGGAAGTGTATACTTCCGGGTGTCACCATGCACGCATGTGCAGAAGCACTCTGTGCACAGTGCGCACGCGCAGAAGCGCTCAATTGTGCCATGCGTGTTTGCAGAAGCGGTGCCTCTGCCTACGGAGTTTTTGGGTTGCGGACAGACCCCCGGAATGAATTTAATTCATATCCGGAGGGTCCACTGTATTATACAATTCAGTCTGTCTCAGATTGAATTGTATGTTCCTGGTAAGTTTCCTTGTAAAGGTAAAGCGACCCCTGACCATTAGGTCCAGTCGTGACTGACTCTGGGGTTGCGGCGCTCATCTCGCTTTATTGGCCGAGGGAGCCAACGTACAGCTTCCGGGGCATGACTAAGCCACTTCTGGCAAACCAGAGCAGCGCATGGAAACACCGTTTACCTTCCCGTCAGAGTGGTACCAGGGGGTTGGACTAGATGACCCTGGGACCCTTTCCAACTCCACAATTCTATGATTCTATGACCATTGTCCTGATCCCGCAAGCACTTCTTATGCTTTTATGTTCCTAACTTAATATGATCCTGGCATTTCTGTTCTGCCTTTCTTTTCTTTCTTTCTTTCTTTCTTTCTTTCTTTCTTTCTTTCTTTGTGGTTTTGTTTTCTCTGCTGCAAAAAATTTCCCTCCTGTGTCAGTCAACCAGTTTGACTGGTTTGGGTTCCTCCGGCGGCATGAAAGCAGAGGAGCTCCAGGGGGGCTGGATCTCTCTGGGAACTGGGAACACGACCCCCTCTTTCCACACCGCGCCCCTGCGAAAGCGAGTCAGGGGCTGGCGACTTGTGCATAAGGCGCCGTGATCCTACTGTCAGTGCAAAATCTCAGCTGTGGGAGGCAGGTTCCAATGGGGTTTTGGTAACTGAGCAGGTTATTGAGCAAGGACTATACAGAGCTTCCTGGCAGGGCTGGGAGCCCAGGGCAGTTGTCTCCTTGCACAAGGTGGAGAGAGGAAGCAGGAACTCCCCCCCCCCCCAGGTAGGAGCTTTACTTTAAGGGATAAAAAGGTAAAGGGACCCCTGACCATTAGGTCCAGTTGTGGCCGACTCTGGGGTTGCAGCGCTCATCTCGCTCATGTGGCCAGCAGGACTAAGCCGCTTCTGGCAAACCAGAGCAGCGCACGGAAACGCCGTTTACCTTCCCACCAGAGCGGTACCTATTTATCTACTTGCACTTTGACGTGCTTTCGAACTGCTAGGTTCGAACTGGCAGGAGCAGGGACTGAGCAACGGGAGCTCACCCCATCTGCTTTTCGCCCCTGGGCAATTCGGCTCCAGGGACCACGCATTCACTCCATAAGACGCACAGACATTTCCCCATACTTTTTAGGAAGAAAAAAGTGTGTCTTATGGAGCGAAAAATACGGTATATTGCTGGCGGACATGCGGCTTCCTTCCCAAGCCCCCGTGAGAAGAGAGCGATCCCCACAGAGGCTTGGGAAAAGGTTGACAACTCTGGGAAATGCGTTGCTGAAGGGATCTTTGCACCATGGCCCTGGATATACTTAAGACAGCCCTGTTTTCTACTTAGCTACGGACCCTACGCTTTCCGTTCTCTGGTAGACTGTCCCTGATTCTCCATCTCATATCTAGGCATATCATATCAGTGGAAATCTGCCTGACCCTCCTCGTAGCCCGATGGATGAAGCCGTCCTCAGGGGGCTGGCATTTGAGAAGAATACCCCCCCCCCTTACCGTCTTAATTTTACCGAAATCTCCCGATAAACTCAGAAAAACGGGTGCCTAATGCATCCTTCCAGCGAGGGCTGCGGTCTGATTGCTCCTTCCGGGCTGCAGGAACTTCGGAAAGTGGAAGCCGCCGCTTGGTCAACTTGCGAGTCTGAGGGGGGAGGGTTGCGGTTTCTCCCCCCCCTCTCCTCACCTGCCCACAGCGCTGAGTGCAGCCAGCCCCTGCCGCACGTAATGGATGAGTCTCGAGCTCAGAAGAAAAATCGATAAATCTCTTTGCTTCGCTGCGCAACCTGTCGAGAGGCTATAAAAGAGGCTCTGCAGATTGATTCATCAGCTAATGTTTGCAAAGTGCCTGGAAGATATCATCACACACACCCCCAACCCAGTGCCTTTTTTAAAAAAAAGAGAGAAAAAGCAGAAAAGCCATTAGGGAAAGAGTAATTCCTTGTATCGAAGCAAAAAACCCAGTCTCAGAAAGATGCAGATTTCAGCAGTTCTGTGTGGACCAGCTATTATCTGTTTGTTCACCGCTGAGAGAGAGAACTTTTTTGGGGGGGCGGATGCTTCAAGATGGGTGTCTGTTGTAAGATCTTATGTGCTGAAGAACCTCAAAGCAATGGCCAATCTAGAGAAGCATCCCGTACACACCATGGCCAATCAGATGTCCGCAATCAGGATTCGAACACAAGATCAACTCTCCCCTCCTGTGGTTTCCACCAGCGGCTATTCAGAACCATTGCTGCCTCTGACTGTGGAGTCTGAGTGTAGCCATCACAGCTAGTGGCCGTCGATAGCCCACGAACTTGTCCAATCTTCCATTAGTTGGTGTCTGTCACTGTGTCTGGTGGGAGAGAGTTCCGCAGTTCAACTCTGTGCTGTGTGAAGAAGGACTTTCTTTGATCTGAAACTTCCAGCAGTCAGCTTTGTAAGCTGTCCACTAATTCTAGGTTAAAAAAAAGGTGAAGGACCCCTGGATGGTTAAATCCAGTCAAAGGCGACTTTGGGGTTGCAGCGCTCATCTCGCTTTCAGGCCGAGGGAGCCGGCGTTTGTCCACAGACAGCTTTCCGGGTCATGTGGCCAGCAGGACTAAACCGCTTCTGGTGCAACGGGACACTGTGACGGAAACCAGAGCGCATGGAAATGCTGCTTACCTTCCCACCGGAGTGGTACCTGTTTATCTACTTGCACTGGTGTGCTTTTGAACTGCTAGGTTGGCAGGAGCTGGGACCAAGCATCTACACGTTGTTGGCATCAAAATCCCAGTCTGCATTCCCCACCCCACCCTGTTTAAACTTCATTTACCCTTTGACAGGAAATCTGCCAAGTTTTGAAGAAGGAAAACGTCACCAGTGGCCTGCTTGCAAGGGAAGATAATCACTGGGGCAAAGCAGGGCAGAGACCTACCATAATTATTTTTCTAGACCCCAAAATTCAGAATGGTGGCTCTGAAGTCCATTGATTGTGCAGAAGGACTTGAGTTCAGTGGCAGGTCACAGGCCTTGCATGCAGAAGGCTAGCTCTGAGATACCGGACAGCCACTGGCAGTCAATGTAACCAATACGGAACTAGATGCCCAAGCGATCTAACGCGATAGAATGCTGCTTCCCTGTGCTGGGCTCTTGGCTGTAATACAGCAGAGACGTGCTCACTTTCTGAAACACGAGGTTGAGAGCAACTAAGGTGCTGGGCTGTTTTTGGCCTCGCTGGCGAAACCGCAGTCTGGACATTTGTCCGCTGCAAGAGCATTTCCTCTTTTCCTCTGTCTTTTGGTTAGGAGCTTGCATGTGGCGTCTGCATGCAGAAGGGGAGAGAGGATTCCCACCCCTTTTTGAAGATGGTGACAACACTTGCCTTCAAGTCTGCAGGAACCTCACCGACATTGGCAAAGGAAAGGCGCTTTACAGTGGTGCCTCGCAAGACGAAAAACTCGCTAGACGAAAGAGTTTTCCGTTTTTTGAGTCGTTCCGCAAGACGAATTTCCCTATGGGCTTGCTTCGCAAGACGAAATGTCTTGCGAGTTCTTGCGAGTTTGTTTCCTTTTTCTTAAAGCCGCTAAGCCGTTAATAGCCGCTAAGCCACTAAGCCGCTAATAGCCGTGCTTCGCAAGACGAAAAAACCGCAAGACGAAGAGACTCGCGGAACGGATTAATTTCGTCTTGCGAGGCACCACTGTATATGTGTTGTGCATGCAGTTATAACACGGCGACACTGGATGGCGATGTGGGGTTCCGTTTTTGCCAACCTGATTTCTTTCTTTTTTATGAAAAAATTCTTTACTGAAATTCATGAATGTCATTACAGATTTAACTTCTCACATACACATAGATATAAAAAATATATACAGTGTATTCTTACATTAGTTTAACATAAAATGTTAATTTAACCTTCTAATTCCACTTAGATATCCACTAAGCTAAAATCGTATAATGTTACATAAAATAAAGTAAAAACAAACAAACTAAAGTAAAATAAATATAGACTTCCCATATTTCCCAATATAGTTGACATTTGTGATTTTGAAAGTACTTATAATTATTACCTTACATTTAATATACTTTCTAATACTTTCTTACAACCTAGTGTACCGGTTTTCCTCTATTTCTTAATATTTTAGGTACACAAGGGTCATACAAACACTACCATAGATAATACATCGCTGTTACCTTTTTTGGAAGTATCTCTTAAACATTTCCCATTTTTGAGAAAATAATTGTAAACCCGATTTCTCATACAAAGTTTGCAACGCATTTTCCTGAAAAGCTTCTTGGATATGTCTAGATCCAGCCCTATTCCCCAAGGCTTCTCAAAGATTATAGGCAGAGACTCTGAGATTACATCTGTAAACTCTCTTGGGTGCAAGCTAATCAGGCCCTGGAGACAATTCATTTGAAGCAACTAGGTATTCCCTGACCACCTCTTTTTGTATCTTGGGCTGTAGCTCCCTCCTTGCATCGTTTATTCTGTTATCACCAGGTTGGGCACTGCTTTGGGCGAAGACAGAGGCGATGAGCAGTTCCTCCTCCTCCTCTCTGTGTCACCCAATAGCATTTGTGGACTCTCCTGCCTTGGAGGTTTTTAAGCAGAGGTTGGATGACCACCTGCAATGGATGCTTTAGGTGTGATCATTTTAAATTGCATTTAGTTATTTCTTTGCATTTAGTTACTTCTTTGCATTTAGTTATTTCCTTGCATTCTGCTATTTCTTTGCATTCAGTTATTTCTTTGCATTCAGTTACTTCTTTGCATTTAGTTACTTCTTTGCATTCAGTTATTTCTTTGCATTTAGTTATTTCTTTGCATTCAGTTATTTCTTTCCATTCAGTTATTCCCTTGCAGGGCTGTGTGCGTGTGCAACCCCACCAGGGCTCCCCAAACCTCTCTGTCTAATCCACTCCTTCAAAAGTGCAGATTGCGAGCTTCCCTCGTTTATTGACCAAGCTCAGAGCAGCCTTCTCCTCAACCTGGCACCCTCCAGATGTTCTGGACTACATTTCCCACCAGCCCTAGCCAGCATGGTCCCTGACCTGGGATGGTGGGAGTTGTAGTCTAAAACATCAGGAAGAAGCACCACAGTTCAAGAAGGACACTGACAAACTGGAACGTGTCCAGAGGAGGGCAACCAAAATGGTCAAAGGCCTGGAAACGATGCCTTATGAGGAACGGCTAAGGGAGCTGGGCATGTTTAGCCTGGAGAAGAGGAGGTTAAGGGGTGATATGATAGGATGGCACTATAACACATTTGTCTTGGTTTATAAGCCTTTGTGAGCATACTTCGGAAGAAAGCTCTGAAAATTCGGATCTGACCCCTGACCCCTTATATGGGATTTGGCATATAAATTTTCCCTTGGCTTTTTTGCTGGCCCATGTAGGACCAGCATGGATAGCTGGCTCGGGTGAATATCTGATGTTTCCTCCCTTTATGGTCTTGATTTATGGGCTACTACTAAAATGAGGCTGCATTTTAAGCTGTATTTTAAGCCATATTTTAATTAACTGTTTGTTTGTTTGTTTGTTTGTTGTTTCTATTACGTTTTATTGTAATTTGTATTTGGTATTAGCTCCCCTGAGCCCAGTCCTGGCCAGGGAGGGCGGGGTATAAATAAAATTGTATTATTATTATTTTTAAAAGTTGACCCATAAAGCGCATAATAATTTCTATAATTCGCCTTATTGGGTGAAGAGGAAGGGAAAAAGCCTTGCATTCTTCAGTTTGGATTCTTGCTCTGCTCCAGAGGTTGAACATAAGTTTCACAACACCACAATATTCACGTTAGGAATATTAACAGCTCTTGTCTCGTCCGCGCTGAGTGACGTTTTCCGGAGATGTTCTTTCTTTGATTGAAGATTTCCTCCTGGGGTGTTTGACTGCTTTCTGCCGATAAGATCAGACGTGACCCAGCCATGAACAGAATACCACTGCTTTCGCCAAGCCGGCGCCCGCCGGATGTTTTGAACTTCATTTCCCTTCACCCTCAGCACCGCAAGACTTTGAAGTCACAAACCTCCAGAGGGCACCAGCTTGGGGAAGGCTGGAGCAGGTTGTTTCGGCGAGCTCAGCTTTGTTTTGCAAGCTGGGAAAGTCCCCGGTCTTTATCCTCACCCTAACTGTCAGGCGTGCTTTTCGAGCCGACTTGAAGACTCAAAAGTCTACAAGGAAAACAAAGCCCTGGGGGGGAATTTGTTGAGAGATGTAGGAAGCTGATCCTTGATTGCTGATTCCCGGAAGGGAGACGGGAGGAATCATATCTTAGACGCAGATCGTATTCTCTTGACTTGATGCTGACATGTACCTTTGCCATTGACGCAACCCCACAGCCAGGCAGGGTTGGGAGGGGCTGGGAAATCATTTAGCAGTCCCTGTGGGCAGGTGAGAAAGCAGCCGGATTTTGATGGAGAAGGTTGCCTAAGGTGAAAGGGTTAAGCGCCCTGCTTCGCCCCCTCACCGCTGCTATTTTGCTCACATTTATTCAGCGAGAGAGGTGCCGATCGGTTAGAAAGTGGGGAGCCTGGCCCTGTCTCTCTAAAACTTTTCAGGTTGCATGTTGATGGTAAGGATTTGTGCCAAAGGACGGAAAGACTTCATTCGGTTTTGATAAGTAGGAGGCACAGGGCTTCTCTGGAAAGGAGCATTTGTGTAGCTGAAAAAGGGGAAATTCCGTTTTGGTCTTGTATGCACAGCCAGAATGAAACTTCACAGATCCTCTGGAGTCCAGAAATGAAAATGGTGTTCAGTGTGCATATGTGCAGAAAATGTACTTCCTCAATCTTCTTTGATGGGCCACTCCAGATGTCCTTTTCGTTGTGCATTCACGATTCTTTATTTTATTTATTTAACCACAACAACAACCCTTTGAGGTAGGTTAGGCTGAGAGGCCTGTTGTCTTTGTCCTTGGAGTTTTCTTGGCAGGGATACTGGAGTAGCTTGCCGGTTCCTGCTCCAGGTGGATCACGTTTGGTCAAAACTCTCTGCTATGACCTGTCCATCTTGGGTGGCCCTGCACGGCATAGCTCATAGCTCCTCTGAGTTATTCAAGCCCCTTCGCCATGGGAAGGCAGTGATCCATGAAGGGGAAGAAATGGAGGCAGTTAGAGATTTTACTTTCTTGGGCTCCATGATCACTGCAGATGGTGACAGCAGTCACGAAATTAAAAGACGCCTGCTTCTTGGGAGAAAAGCAATGACAAACCTAGGCAGCATCTTAAAAAGCAGAGACATCACTTTGCCAACAAAGGTCCGTCTAGTAAAAGCTATGGTTTTCCCAGTAGTGATGTATGGAAGTGAGAGCTGGACCATAAAGAAGGCTGATCGCCGAAGAATGGATGCTTTTGAATTCTGGTGCTGGAGGAGACTCTTGAGAGTCCCATGGACTGCAAGAAGATCAAACCTCTCCATTCTGAAGGAAATCAGCCCTGAGTGCTCACTGGAAGGACAGATCCTGAAGCTGAGGCTCCAAGACTTTGGCCACCTCATGAGAAGAGAAGACTCCCTGGAAAAGACCCTGATGTTGGGAAAGATGGAGGGCACAAGGAGAAGGGAACGACAGAGGACGAGATGGTTGGTCAATGTTCTCGAAGCTACCAGCATGAGTTTGACCAGACTGCTGGAGGCAGTGGAAGACAGGAGTGCCTGACGTGCTCTGGTCCATGGGGTCACGAAGAGTCAGACACGACTAAACGACTAAACAACAACAAGGCTGAGAGGCAGTGACGGGCAGCGAGGTCACCCAGTGAGAAATTTGAACCCTGATCTCCCAGGTCCATATCTGATACTCTAGCCCAGGGGTCAGCAAGGTTTACCTCGTCTGGGCCAGTTCACTCCAGTGGAGATCCCTCCCTGGACCAGATCATACGTGCACCCACGATTTCCGGCGTCTGCACAGAAGTGATTTTTTGCATCTGCGCATGTGCAGACATGATTTTCGGTGCTGCGGAAGCAATTCCTGTGCCATACTGCGCCAGTTCAGTGCAGCGCAGGGGGAGTCACTGAGTGGGTGGCTCAGTTTGGGGGCGGCTTGTGGGCCAGTTAAACAACTCCCGTGGGTGGCTTGTGGCCCACGGGCCTTAGGTTGCCAACTCCTGCTCTAGCCACTACCACCACACTGGTTCTCAGACCGCACTGGCTCTCTCAGGGATGACGCTGGGTGCTTATACACAATTCTGCTTGCTTTCTTGTCAATCCACGCAGCTTCCTGACCCTCCAGGCAGCAATAATGGGTTATCATTTAAGAAGCGTTGCAAAATAAGAGTGGAATGGCGTGTGAATGACTCATTATAAATCCAGAGTGAATGCATTATTATTGCATCAATGACATGTTTCGTGCATATGTAATAGGGCTTCAATGTAAAAGTTCCACATTATATTTTCATTTTCAAAAAAATATCTGCGGCCTGAACCAGGGTTCACACATGTGTGGTGCAAGCAAGGGAGATAATGAGACAGCCATACTTTTAAAGTAACTTTAAAGTAACTTTTTGAGGGCTTCCCAGGATCATTGAGTTGGCCACAGTGAGAAAAGGGTGCTGGTTTAGAAGGGGCTCTGGCCTGATCCTGCAAAGCTTCTCATGCATTCTTAGCGTGCAGTTCGTCCCTGAGAGCACCTGGAATGTGGTGTTTTATTGTCAGGTACAATTCTGCCCATATGGTTTTGGAGGAAACTTAGTGAAGAAATTGGCTGTGTTGGCCGAACTCTGCCCTTGAACTCAGCAACCAGTGCAGCCCAAACACATCCAGAGTCCAGAATGCGCCCTCATACTTTACCCCAGAAAATATTTGTACGTCCTGACGTCATTGTTTGATCAGAGACTGAGAGGATCGAAGTTATGTGAACTTCTGGCTGGGGGCAATGACTGAAATTGTGAAACTGGCATTATCAGTGACAAATCCGCTGGTGCGCCCGGGATATACTGTATTTTTTGGTGTATAAGACGCCCCCATGTATAAGACGCTCCCTATTTTGGGGGACTAAATTTAAAGAAAATGAGGGGAGATGGCCCAGCTGGCAAAGTGGGCAGCCGCTCCCCCCGAGCCACTGCAGATAGGAAGCTCCGTAAAGCCCTAAACGGCCTCGGCCCAGTATACCTGAAGGAAGAAGAAGAGTTTGGATTTGATATCCCGCCTTTCACTCCCTTCAGGAGTCTCAAAGCGGCTAACAATCTCCTTTCCCTTTCTCCCCCACAACAAACACTCTGTGAGGTGAGTGGGGCTGAGAGACTTCAGAGAAGTGTGACTGGCCCAAGGTCACCCAGCAGCTGCAGGTGGAGGAGCGGTGACGCGAACCCGGTTCCCCAGATTACGTGACTACCGCTCTTAACCACTACACCACACTGGCTCTCCACCTCCATCGTTCTACCATCACTGAGGTCCAGCGGCGAGGGCCTTCTGGCGGTTCCCTCCCTGCAAGAAGCCAAGTTACAGGGAACCAGGCAGAGGGCCTTCTCGGTAGTGGCACCCGCCCTGTGGAACACCCTCCCATCAGATGTCAAGGAAATAAGCAACTACCAGACTTTTAGAAGACACCTGAAGGCAGCCCTGTTTAGGGAAGCTTTTAATGGTTAATAGGTTATTGTATTTTAATATTCTGTTGGAAGCCGCCCAGAGTGGCTCAATAGCTTTGGGCAAAACAAAACAAACAACTTTTGTGTCTGGGCTTTTTGAAATACGGCATCCCTATCTGAGAGGTTTCCACTCTCGCTTTTCTCAGACATCTCCTTACTGCTTCTTACGGAGAACATCAGCTTCCGTATATGAATCTATTATTCTATGTGTGTTGTCTCTCATAAAGAAAGGTAAAGGGACCCATGACCGTTAGGTCCAGTCGTGGCCGACTCTGGGGTTGCGGCACTCATCTCGCTTTATTGGCCGAGGGAGCTGGCGTACAGCTTCCGGGTCATGTGGCCAGCATGACTAAGCCGCTTCTGGCAAACCAGAGCAGCGCACGGAAACACCGTTTACCTTCCCGCTGGAGTGGTACCTATTTATCTACTTGCACTGGTGTGCTTTCGAACTGCTAGGTTGGCAGGAGCTGGGACCGAGCAACGGGAGCTCACCCCGTCACGGGGATTCGAGCCACCGACCTTCCGATCGGCAAGTCCTAGGCTCTGTGGTTTAACCCACAGCGCCACCCCCGTCCCTCATACTCACTTCCAAACTGGAGATCATTTAAAGAAGCTCACATAATGAGACTAAAACATCAATACTATGGTAGTGCTAACTCTCAATTAAAGCTTACTTCTTATGTATCCTAGTATTCTTGCAGGGTTTGAAATGCTAAACATTTGTACGGCTGCATTGATCTGTTGCATGATGGACTTTGGCTCTAGAAGAATAAACTTTGACAGAAATGCACTAGCATGCAAACAAAAAACCCGGCATTTTAACTTTTGTGAGCTGCTAATTTTCTGCACAGTCTTTAGTGACGCTTTCACGTTGCATCAACAGCCCCGAAGAGGAAGTCAAGGTGTTTGGTTCTTGGAGGGGTTTTTCGAGAGCAAATCAGAATATTTGCACCTGCATATTTGCACAGCTCATATCAAATATTGAAGGATCCAGGGCAATGCGCTTGACTGAGGAGAGGCCTTTGGGACGTTTGTTTAGGCCTTGCGCAGAAAGAAGAAAAGTCAGTGACAGTTACGAGAAACTCAACAGTTTTGTCCTGTTGGTGTGGATAGCTTACCTAGCGCCAGAAGGAAAGTAATGTACCACTTTAAAAAAAAAAAGATTTGCATGCACCAATTTATGTGTGCAGATGCAAATTTAGAAAAGTCTCCTCTAACCTGAGCAGAAATATATAACTCAGGTGGTAGAGAATGAGGCTTGTACTCTCAGGGTTGTGGGTTCCAGCCCCACACTGGGCAAAAAAAATCCTGCCTTGCAGGGGGTTGGACTAAAGGACCTTCAGGGTCCCTTCCAGTTTTATGATTCTATAATACATCTCGCCATAATGGTGAAGGCTCTGACAGGTGACCCATGAACTTGCCTGATCTGCTGTCAAGGTGCACACTGTTGACAGGCAACTTCAAGGCGTCTGATGGTCTCTCTCTCTTTTGAGTTTTTTATTTTTGATGCAGATTTTACTGGGCTCCTCAAAGACAGTCCTTTGAAAATCAGACAAATTCATGGAGGAGCAGGATCGACCAATGGCGACTAGCCAGGGTTGGTGTGTTCTCCTGCCCCTGTCAGAGGCAGAATGCGCCTGAATTGCTGGGAATTGACAAGTGGAAAGAGCACTTTTGTGCATGGGTCCTGCTGGCTGTGAGAGGTTTTTAATATTTTTAATGTTTTTAATATTCTGTTGGGAGCCGCCCAGAGTGGCTGGGGAAACCCAGCCAGATGGGCAGGGTATAAATAATAAGTTGTTGTTGTTGTTGTGAAGGTAAGTTAAAGGACCCCTGGATGGTTAAGTCCAGTCAAAGGCGACTATGGGGTTGCAGCGCTCATCTCGCTTTCAGGCAGAAGGAGCCGGCGTTTATCCACAGACAGCTTTCTGGGTCATGTGGCCAGTAGGACTAAACCACTTCTGGCACAACAGGACACCGTGACGGAAACCAGAGCGCACGGAAATGCCGTTTACCTTCCCGCTGCAGTGGTACCTATTTATCTACTTGCACCGGTGTGCTTTTGACCTGCCAGGTTGGCAGGAGCTGGGACAGAGCAACGGGAGCTCACTCCGTCACGGGGATTCGAACCGCTGACCTTCCGATCGGCAAGCCCAAGAGGCTCAGTGGTTTAGATCACAGCGCCACCCGTGTTCCCCATTGTGAGAACAGGATACTGGGCTACATGGACCATTGGCCTGATCCAGAAGGCTTTTGCTAGGTTCGTAAGTCTGCTGTGCCATCGCATCCAAAGGGAACCAAATCCTGCAACAAGATCTATATTAATATCAAACGACATTAGGATGCTCTGCTCAATACGCCCCCATTGCCCTGACCCAGCAGAGATCTTCTTAGCTTATTTTAACTCTTCATCTTTCCCGCGCCACGTTTTTGGGGAGAGAGCTCCCCAGGCAGCTTGCATGCACAGAGAAGGCACCAAATCTCATTCCAGTGAAACAGAACCACGAAAACAGTAGCCTGGAAACAATTTCACAGCCCAGTTTCGCAGCTCATATAAAACCAATTTGCACAACCAAGGAGAAACAATTTAAAACCAGCCACACTTTGTTAAATAGTCAGTATTCAGCCCAACATTTGGGATTAAAAGCGACTGGCAAGAAATGGATTTTAGAGGCCCCAACTTGAAGCCGTTACTGATGGGGGCCAAGCATCTATCCATTAAGTGGGATATGGGGCCACCAGCAAGAAGCCCTCCCTCCGTACATTTGGCTTTGCAAGAACACTTCCTGTGCAAAGTTCGTCGAAAGGAGCAGCAATCGCTCAGAGACATCTCGTTTTTGGATCTGACAAGAGTTTGTTCTCTGCGAGCGAGAGCTCGATCTCGATCTAGATAACCATGTTCTGCCCTCATCAGCTTGTAGAATTTCCTCCTCTCTCCCTCCCACAGCCTCTCATACATAATCTGTGTGGGGTCTTCTGCCAAACGCATCTTGGCAGCCCTTGCATGTGTGTTTATGTGTGCGGCCTTTGTGGAGCAATTGTCGAAACATTTGCGAGGTGGTTGGAGGAGGGAGAAAGTTTGTTTGTGGTTTTGATCAAAGCCGCGCATTGTCCCAGATCAGCCTGACCGGGCCATCACCTTCCACGTGATGCTGTGAACACGCCTGGAGAGATCCCTGCTGACATGTCTTGCAGGAAACAAGGGTCAAGTCGATTATCCCTTCTCCTTCCGCCCCCTCGGTGCTTTCTGGCTGCGAAAGCTTTCGAGCGTCAGCCATGGAAGATGCAGCGCTTTCCTGGTTCCCAGGCTCTCCTGGAGTTTCAAAGAGATCATAGAACGGTAGAGTTGGAAGGGACCCCTGAGGGTTATCTAGTCCAACCCCTGGAAATGCAGGAATCACAGCTGAAGAATCCCTGACAGACGGCTATCCAACATCTGCTTCAAAACCTCCAAGGAAGGAGAGTCTACCACAGGGGTCAGCAAACTTTTTCAGCAGGGGGCCGGTCCACTGCCCCTCAGACCTTGTGGGGGGCCGGACTATATTTTGAAAAAAAATAATGAACGAATTCCTATGCCCCACAAATAGCCCAGAGATGCACTTTAAATAAAGGCATACATTCAACTCATGTAAAAACACGCTGATTCCCAGACCGTCCGCAGGCTGGATGGAGAAGGCAATTGGGCCGGATCCAGCCCCCGGGCCTTAGCTTGCCTACCCGTGGTCTACCACCTCCACTGTCTAACAGTTCTTACTGTCAGAAAGGCACTTCTTGATATTTCATTGGAATCTCCTTTCTTGTAACTTGAATCGATTGATTTGGGTCCTGTCCTCTGCAGCAGCAGAAAACAACCTTGCTCCATCTATTATGTGACATCCCTTGAGATATTTGAAGACGGCTAGCCTATCTCCTCTCAGTCTCCTCTTTTCCAGGCTAAACATACCCAGCTCCTTCAACCATTCCTCATCAGGCTTGGTTTTCAGAGTCTTGGTTGCCCTCCTCTGCACACACATTCCAGCTTTTTAATGTGTGACATTTTAATGTATTTTTAATCTTTGTTGGGAGCCGCCCAGAGTGGCTGGGGAGGCCCAGCCAAATGGACGGGGTACAAATAAATTCTTCTTCTTCTTCTTCTTATTATTATTATTATTAATATTATTATTATTATATTTTTAAGATTTGCCTTGAGAGAGTTTTTAAACCTCTTTTGTTGACCACCAGCATTACATTTTCCATTTTTAAGTTCGGAATAGAGCAGTTGTTTTGGAAGACGATTATGCGCTCCCGAGCCTGGAAGTTCAACGTAGCAGCCATGGCCCAAAGCTGCAGACAGTTCTGTTATTGGCGAATCTTTCTAAGGTCTATTTAAAGCATTTGCTAGAATCTGCAGCCTCCCTCCCTCTTTCTTGCTCAGCCCTTGTCAGGCAGATACACCCGCCGCCCAACAGTTCTTCTGCCAGCCATCTTCTGCCACTATTCCAGTGGTCTAAAAGGGGAGGCTGGTTGCAGGGAATGTAAGAAAGTAAAGAACTTCTGGGAAATGATATATAATGTGATGAAATATACATTCTTTAAAAAACCAGAAGCATTTTTACTTGGTATTATAGGCCAAGACATTAATAGGCAAGATGTCAAACTGTTCTTAGATGCAACAACAGCGGCAAGAGTATTGTTAGCCCAGAAATGGAAGCCAGAAGAAATTCCGACGAAAGAAGAATGGCAGACGAAATTAATGGACTATGCAAAATTGGACAAAATGACAGAAAGGATTCAAAACCTGCGGGACCAGAGATTTACAGAAGATTGGAAGAAGTACAGTGGTGCCCCGCAATACAAATGCCTCGCAAGAAGGAAAACCCGCTAGACGAAAGGGTTTTCCGTTTTTCGATGCGCTTCGCAGGACGAATTTCCCTATGGGCTTGCTTCGCAAGACGAAAATGTCTTGCGAGTCTTGAGATTTTTTTTCGCTCCCCCCCCCTTTTTCTAAGCCGCTAAGCCACTAATAGCCTTTTAGCAGCTAAGCCACTAAGCCGCTAAGCCTTTAATAGCTGCTAAACCGCTAATAGCGCTAATCCGCTAAGCCGCTAATAGGGTTGCTTCGCAAGACGAAAAAACCGCTAGACGAAGACACTCGCGGAACGGATTAATTTCGTCTTGCGAGGCACCACTGTATATGGATTATTTGAAGAGCAACTGCAATCAACAAATTACGCTAGTAGGACTACAAGAAGTTTTGTAAGGAGAAATATACGGAATGTTACAAAGTAGGAAAAGATAGAGATATTGGTCATGAGTTTGAAATGTAATGGGGAAAATAAGAAATGCATACTGAGAGACTAGATTGGAAAATTTTCAGACAGGACTGGTGGAAGTCAAAAAAACTGAATAGGATGTAAAAGCATGTTTAATTATTGTTGAAAATGGTATGTTAAAAAGCTAATAAAAAATTATATATATATAAAAGCGGAGGCTGGTTGCACTTCCTCCTATCGGAGGCCAGGCAGAGGTCCATCCTCCCAAAATCCTGCTCCCGGTTGCTGCCCGTGATAGTGCTTTTGTGCCAGCCATCCCACAACACCAGGATGTGGTTACTGGACAGGTCAGATTTGCTGATGCTATCGCTCTTGCCTCGAGTTTCGTACGCTGCCACCCAGCCATCTGACATCCTGCTTCTGCTTCTACTGCTTCCTCTTGCTGCCTATATAGGGCATCCCCACAGAAGGACTTTCCGAGCCCGATCACAGCAGGTGGAAAGGCAGCACAGGGGTGGGGGTTGCCGAGGCCACCTGAGCCGGTCCAGGAAAAAGAGGCTTTGTCCTGCAGGTACTCCAAAGGATTTGCAGTTGCATGCACAGGCGTTTTGAAAAGCCACCCCTTTCGTGTGCCTCTCGCTCTCTGCGTGTGGCTAGACCTCCTGAAACAGAGGTGAGTGGCAGACTTGGGGTGGGTTGGCTGGAATTGTAGTAAAGGTTCCTTGGCACGTATCATACTCGTTTTTTAAAGCTAGGTTTAAGGATGAGTGAGGATGGGCAGATTGGCTTCTCATTTTTCTACTCCAAAGTTCAGGTTCTCCGCACGTCCACATCAGTTTGCAGAAAAAGTAGTGAAAACCCTGAAAATTTACCTGCTAATTTCTCTCGATGTACATAGTTTTGAATGCAGTTTCACCCGATAGCATGTCATTTTGCAAATCAAATTTCTCTTCTCTTCTTAACATTTTATATTCTTTGTTGAAAAATTGTTGCTGTCGTTTAGTCTTGTCCGACTCTTCGTGACCCCCTGGACCAGAGCACGCCAGGCACTCCTGTTTTCCACTGCCTCCCGCAGTTTGGTCAAACTCATGCTGGTAGCTTCGAGAACACTGTCCCACCATCTCATCCTCTGTGGTCCCCTTCTCCTTGTGCCCTCCATCTTTCCCAACATCAGGGTCTTTTCCAGGGAGTCTTCTCTTCTCATGAGGTGGCCAAAGTATTGGAGCCTCAGCTTCAGGATCTGTCCTTCCAGTGAGCACTCAGGGCTGATTTCCTTCAGAATGGATAGGTTTCATGTTGAAAAATAAAAAGTACAAAATTGCAACTGCACGGAGTAAGATAAGACAAAAGAGGAAGAAATTTTCTCTTCTCTTTAAAAATACTTTAATGTTGCACAGTACTTTTAAATTTCCTTTTGCATATCAGACAGATATGCAAGATATTCCCAATTCCCTTTTTTCCAAATCTAGTCAGCAAACCCTCTTTAATTAGACCCTATTCTCTGTCGCTTTGCATAGCTGTTAGTTTAAACAAAGCACACTACTCCCAGATTACCCTGGTGAGATTTGATTTCACTGGTTTACGTCTGCGCTTCCAAGCTCAAGCATACAGAGGAAACTGTCTTGTACGAATCAGACCATTGGTCCATCTACTTCAATATTGTCTGCACAGACAGGCAGCAGCTCATTGGCATTCCAGGCAGGAGACATTCCAAGCCTTACCTGGCAATGTCAGGGCTTGAACCCAGGACATTCTGGATGCAAAACAGGTGGTTGGCTACTGAGCTACAGTCCTCTCCCCCCACCCCAGCCTCCCACCCCCAAAAAGCCTTGCAATAGTTAAAATGTGTAAAATCTGATTTTTGTACTCTTGCCATGATCTATCGAAGTTGGGTATGTTTAGCCTGAAAAAGAGGAGACTGAGAGGAGATAGGCTAGCCAAATATCTCAAGGGCTGTCGCATGGAAGAGGGAGCAAGCTTGTTTTCTCCTGCACTGGAGGGTAGGACTCGAACCCATGGCTTCAAGTTACAAGAAAGGAAATTCCGACTAAACATACAGGATAAACTATCTGACAATAAGAGCTGTTCGGCAGCGGAACGGTCTCCCACAAGAGGTGGTGGACTATCCTTCCTTGGAGGTTTTTAAGCAGAGGTCGGACAGCCATCTGTCATGGATACTTTAGCTGAGATTCCTGCATTTTGGTGGGTTGGACTAGATGACACTCGGGTCCCTGCCAACTCTCTACAATTCTACAATTCTGTAATTCTGTTGTTGTTGTTTAGTCGTTTAGTCGTGTCCGACTCTTCGTGACCTCCTGGACCAGAGCACGCCAGGCACTCCTGTCTTCCACTGCCTCCCGCAGTTGCGTCAAACTCATGCTGGTAGCTTCGAGAACACTGTCCAGCCATCTCGTCCTCTGTCGTCCCCTTCTCCTTGTGATCTTTCCCAACATCAGGCTTTTTTCCAGGGAGTCTTCTCTTCTCATGAAGTGGCCAAAGTATTGGACCCTCAGCTTCTGATTTCCTTCAGAATGGATCGGTTTGATCTTCTTGCAGTCCATGGGACTCTCAAGAGTCTCCTCCAGCACCATAATTCAAAAGCATCAATTTTTCGGCGATCAGCCTTCTTTAGGGTCCAGCTGTCACTTCCATACATCACTACTGGGAAAACCATAGCTTTAACTATACAGACCTTTGTCTGCAAGGTGATGTCTCTGTTTTTTTAAGATGCTGTCTAGTCTGTGATTCTATCCTTGACTAAATTCAATAAATGTATTAAGAGGTCAATGGGTGTCTTTGATCTGAAAACTTCCTCTTAATATCTCTGTTTCGTGCACCCAGAACCGTTTTGCTTTTCTGCACTCCCATCGCAAAGGGGCAAAGGTTACCTTTTCCTGTACCCCAAACCAACACTTTCCCAGTGATTTTTGGATCCCCCTGTCTGGAAACCTCTTCTTGTGTAATTTAAGCCCATGCGATGTGGCCCTGCTTTCTGGGCAGCAGAAAAACAAGCCTTTGCCTGCTTTAAGTCCCCCCTCTGAGCTCCATGTATTACACGTCCTCCTTTTTCCCTCTCCCTCTTCTGTTCTAATCCGAACGGTGCCCATTCAAAACCTGAACTTTCTGCCAACTTTACCTTTTGAAATCCGCTGGGGGTTAAGGTGCCCATTATACCAGGAGCGCTGGACCAGATTGGTTGGAGAGGCGAAGCAGTTCTCAACCTCGCAGGTGCCCGGAGACGGCGATGGGAGGAGAGAAAAGTGTCGCTTTCGCCCGAATTCAACACCCCGCAAACAATTCCACCGCAATTAAGCGCTGTGAAATTGTTGGAAAGGAGGAACGGTTCCTTTCGGCGCTGGCGACTTAACTGCCTTTCAGCCTTTGTAGAGTGTGAATGGGGTAACAAAAAGGTGTTGTGTGTCTGCCTACGTGACGCAGCGGCTCTCATTAGCCGCCACGCGCAGTTCGTGACCTTTGCCTGTGAAGGGCATTGCTCTTTGGGGCCGGCTCTGCCATTAGGCAGGAGAGTCACGTGCCTCAGGCGGTTGGATTGGGGTGTCACGAAAGGGCAGGAAATTGCTCCTTCTTTGGGGGATTTTTACGGGGATTTTCGGCTGTTGCGCACCTTGCCTCTTGGGTGGGTCGTTGGGCAGAGGGGGGCATTTGCTGTTCTGCCTCAGGCGGCAAACTATTTTGGGCTTGTCTTCAGCAGTCCATGGGGAGAGTGATATGAGGGGTGCTACCAGACCCATTGAGGACCCCCAAGTAGCACAGGATGTCTGTCTGTCATTCAGGAGTGCTGCCTTTCCCCCGTGACAGTGTGTGCCCAGGATCTGTGCTTTTTTCTAGGGGGGTGCATACTCCTAAACATTTTGCGAATCTTTGTACTTTTTTCCCATTTACTGTATTTATTTCCCCCGATTTGAACCATAAAATGGTGATTTTCTTGAATCAAAATGAGAGTACCTCTAAACTGGGAGCTGCCGCCGAGACCACATAACACCGGTCTTGAAAGACCTACACTGGCCCCCAGTACGTTTCCAGGCACAATTCAAAGTGTTGGTGTTGACCTTGAAAGCCCTCAACGGCCTCGGTCCAGTACAGTGGTACCTCAGGTTCCTTACGCTTCAGGTTACACGCTCCGCTAACCCAGAAATAGTGCTTCAGGTTAAGAACATTGCTTCAGGATAAGAACAGAAATCAGGCTCAGGTGGCGCAGCAGCAGCAGGAGGCCCCATTAGCTAAAGTGGTACTTCAGTTTAAGAACAGTTTCAGGTTAAGAACGGACCTCTGGAACGAATTAAGTTCTTAACCTGAGGTACCACTGTATACCTAAAGGAGCGTCTCCACCCCCATCGTTCTGCCCGGACACTGAGGTCCAGCTCTGAGGGCCTTCTGGTGGTTCCCTCACTGCGAGAAGCCAAGTTACAGGGAACCAGGCACAGGGCCTTCTCGGTGGTGGCGCCCGCCCTGTGGAATGCCCCCCCCCCCAGATGTCAAAGAGAACAACTACCAGACTTTTAGAAGACATCTGAAGGCAGCCCTGTTTAGGGAAGCTTTTAATGTTTAATAGGTTATTGTATTTTAATATTCTGTTGGAAGCCGCCCAGAGTGGCTGGGGAAATCCAGCCAGATGGGTGGGGTATAAATAATATATTATTATTATTACTGGAAAAAAGCACTGCCCGGGGCCATGGGTGCCATGCAGAGTGCACTGAAATTGGTGGGTGCCCGGCTCCTTCATGGGGAATTTTGTGGGTGCTCGGCCACCCAGGGCCCCAGGGAGTTGGCGCCTACGCTGTCGCTTCTGAGGAGGAACTCATCGTGTGGATTCAGACCCCGGCACTTTCATACAGTGGTGCCTCGCAAGACGAAATTAATCCGTTCCGCGAGTCTCTTCGTCTTGCGGTTTTTTCGTCTTGCGAAGCACGGCTATTAGCGGCTTAGCGGCTTTAAGAAAAGGGAAAGCAAACCTCGCAAGAACTCGCAAGATGTTTCGTCTTGCGAAGCAAGCCCATAGGGAAATTCATCTTGCGGAATGACTCAAAAAACGCAAAACCCTTTCATCTAGCGAGTTTTTCGTCTTGCGAGGCATTCGTCTTGCGGGGCACCACTGTATTTCAAACCTAAAAGATTCTGCGAGGATCGACTTGGGACAGGAAACTGGGGGGATCAATCTGCCACACGATTCCAGGGACCAGACCCCCCTACATCAATTTGATTTGATTTATTACAGTTCATAGAACCATAGAACTGCAGAGTTGGAAGGGACCCTGAGGGCAATCTAGTCCAACCCCCTGCAATGCAGGAATCTTTTGCCCCACGTGGTTCTCGAACTCATGTCCCTGAAATTAAGAGTCTCGGGTTCTGCTGACTGAGCTACCAAGTTTTCCATGCTGCTTTTCATTCAGGCAAAGCCCCAAAGCGGCTTACAAACAATAACCAATAATAATATGATAGAACGTAATAGGTAAAGGTAAAGGGACCCCTGACCATTAGGTCCAGTCGTGACCAACTCTGGGGTTGCAGCGCTCATCTCGCTTTATTGGCCGAGGGAGCCGGCGTACAGCTTCCCGGGTCATGTGGCCAGCATGACTAAGCTGCTTCTGGCAAACCAGAGCAGTGCACGGAAACGCCGTTTATCTTCCTGCCGGAGTGGTACCTATTTATCTACTTGCACTTTGACGTGCTTTCGAACTGCTAGGTTGGCAGGAGCAGGACCGAGCAACGGGAGCTCACCCCATCGTGGGGATATGAACCGCCGACCTTCTGATCAGCAAGTCCTAGGCTCTGTGGTCTAACCCAATAGAGCATCGCAAAAGCAGCACAAATCACATAGAGTAATTAACAAATTGATGGTGGAACAATGGCAATCTATCGATTATTATCTGTGAGATGTCATAGAATTGCAGAGTTGGAAGGGACCCTGAGGATAACAACAACAACAACAATAATAATTTATTTTTATACCCTGCCCATCTGGCTGGACGTCCCCAGCCACTCTGGGTGGCTCATTTAGTTCAGCTGCCATTCTATGGTTCTGTGAGTTAAGAACTATGTAGAAACCTTTTAAAAATATTTGAAATTAGAGGTAAAAGAGATGAAACTCATCAACTGGATAGGCTTGCCCAACTAAAATGTTTTAAGCAGGTGCAAAAACGAGTACAGGCAGGGAGTTCCAAAGTTTCGTTGCCACCATGCTAAAAGAAGGATTTCTTACAAGTGCGGTTATTTGACAAATAGACTGCGGTGGAATCTACACACCTGTTCAAAACATTGTGGAAATGCTTTTTTTCACCACCTGGTGTCACAAATATATATTGCACTTTGCAACATATTCAAAGTGTTTCATTTGCAGCTGTATAGCTGAGTCCTGTATCTCTTTTGACCAGACCATGGGTAGGCAAACTAAGGCCCGGGGGCCGGATCCGGTCCACTCGCCTTCTAAATCCGGCTCCCAGATGGTCTGGCAATCAGCGTGTTTTTACATGAGTAGAATGTGCCCTTTTATTTAAAATGCATCTCTGGGTTATTTGCGGGGCCTGCCTGGTGTTTTTACATGAGTAGAATGTGTGCTTTAATTTAAAATGGGTTATTTGTGGGGCATAGGAATTTGTTCATTCCCCCTCCCCAGAAAATATAGTCTGGCCCCCCACAAGGTCTGAGGGACAGTGGACTGGCCTCCTGCTGAAAAAGTTTGCTGACCCCTGGACCAGACAAATACCTGACCCTCAATTAATTTCCGTTATCCTTCCTAACCCCGATAAAATAAAAAACGACGGGAACAAGAAATGCAATTCCTTAGATGCTGGAGCATTAAAAAGAGTTTGAAATCTGCTGCCCAGGAGGAGCATTTGAGAGAGGTAGGTGGCTTTGTGGCAGCTTCCTCCTCCCTAAATGTGTCAGCAAATTGCCACAGGCGATGAATGGACGGCCGTCTCCTCTGCAAGCAACCCCGCCGGGACACTTCAGAGCGAAACCTGTGCAAAAGGAGGAAGCGGTTGGTGTGTCAATTTCGGGTGAAAGTGATGCATGGGCACAGGCGAGGGGGGGAGGCGGCCTCCTGCCCTTTGCTGCTGAAACCACAATGTTGCTTGAACGAAAAGGGGCAGAGGAATTAGACCGGCCCTGGGTGCAGGAGGCTGCCTGCCTTCTTATTTTTAGGTTTGAAGTTGCAGATTCCAAGCCAACTATAGGTAAGTGGGGGAGGGCAAAGTCATAGCTCGGGGGTGAGGCATCCTCTTGGCATGCTTTGGTTATCTCCCGCTTGGACTACTGCAATGCGCTCTATGTGGGGCTACCTTTGAAGATGACCCGGAAACTACAACTAATCCAGAATGTGGCAGCTAGACGGGTGACTGGGAGCATAGCTGTCAACTTTTCCCTTTTCTTGCGAGGAATCCTATTCAGAATAAGGGAATTTCCCTTTAAAAAAGGGAAACGTTGACAGCTATGACTGGGAGCGGCCGCCGAGACCACATAACACCGGTCTTGAAAGACCTACATTGGCTCCCAGTATGTTTCCGAGCATAATTCAAAGTGTTGATGCTGACCTTGAAAGCCCTAAACGGCCTCGGCCCAGTAGACCTGAAGGAGCATCTCCACCCCCATCATTCTGCCCGGACATTGAGGTCCAGCTCTGAGGGCCTTCTGGCAGTTCCCTCATTGCGAGAAGCGAGGCTACAGGGAACCAGGCAGAGGGCCTTCTCTGTGGTGGCACCTGCCCTATGGAACGCCCTCCCACCAGATATCAAAGAGAACAACTACCAGACTTTTAGAAGACATCTGAAGGCAGCCCTGTTTAGGGAAGCTTTTAATGTTTGATGCATTACTGAATTTTTATATTTTGTTGGAAGCCGCCCGGTGTGGCTGGGGAAGCCCAGCCAGATGGGTGGGCTATAAGTAATAGATGATGATGATGGTGACGTCCTGAGTTCGATCCTTGACATCGCCAGGCAGGGGTGGGAACGTTCACTGTCTGAAACTGACGGCCAGTGTAGACAGAGAGACAAATTGTTTGATCTGTTTACATGCTCTGCCTTGGAGGCAGATTCGGGTTCAACCCCTGGCCTTGCCAGACAGGGCTGGGGATGTCCCCTGCCTGAAACTGCTGCTGATCCACTGCCAGTCCGTGAAGGCTGTACTGATCTAGGTGGAACCATCGGTCAGAGTCGGCAGAATGGAGCTTCCTATTTAGCTGGTTCCTTGTAAACCTCAAACGTTTCTGCGTAAGGCTGACATGCAGAACCCTCGTGCCTGAGGATTTTCTCTCTCTTTCTCTCCCAGTACTTTCTCCAGGAAAACATGCATTTTTAACCCTGAACCGGAGCAAACAGTAACTGCGTTTTCCACCGGCTGCCGGTTGCTCCAGTTCAGCTGTTAAAAAAACAACACCAAACGGGTTTTCCTAGGGTAAACACCAGGAAAAGAAAAGAAAAAAGGATCAGACACAGAACTTTAAAATGTGGAGTTGTGGCTATTTGAACTTCTCATTTGAGTTGTGGTTAGCTGCTATCGGATGGTCTCGCTGCGGATGGTTTTGGTGGGTGGGGAGGGCGGGAGATGTTGGAGCAAGGAACAGAAATGTGTAAAAATGTGCAAGGCAGTAAAAGAACCGGCTTTCCTGGAAACCCATGTGCCTTGCATGCTGCTCCGTCACTTGCAGAAGGTGGTAGGGATTGCTTTTCTCCAGTGTCGCCATAAAGAGACAGAAGAAGTTTTTACGGTCAAGGGTTAGGGTAAGAAACCCAGTAAATAATGTTGGTGGTGATGCCGGGGACTTTTTGTGTTGATTAAGTGGACCTCTGGCCACCCAGCTGTAGTTTTTTCTTGAGAGCCCGCAGGGAACACTAAAGGTTTCAGCCTAGGAAACAATTTGAGTTTTAGATGCGTCAGTATGGCATGCGGGCCAGCGCCAGGATTTGCACTGAGTTCGGAGCTCAGCCTTTGAAGAGTCTCACCTTCCTTTTCTTTCTCTAAAAAAAAGCACTCCCTTCTGAGATCCACATGCCAGTGGTAGGAAAGGTGCTGTGCCAACAACAGGGGGATAGGTCCCTGCCCCAATGAGCTTCCAATCTGAAATTGCAAGCTCCTTTGGGACAAAGGGCGGGATAGAAATATAATGATGAAACGAAGTAAATTTGACACAAGAGGAGGCGGCAGACAGGGGAAGGAGACAGAGGCAGTGAGTAAACTAGAAGAATATGCACACACACACACACACACACACACACACACACCTGCAGTTACGTGTACTTAGACGTACTTGCAGTGTTTTTTTTGGGAACTCGGGGTTTGTATTTTAATATTACTAAATGACATCCTTTTTGCATGACCTGTAATTGTAAGAATGTGCAGGCTTTTGAATGCTGCTTCAGTCAATTCAGTCAACGTAGTTCTGGCATTTAATTACTTTTTAACAAATACATTGCATATGGATTTAGCTTTTTGCATTTGATCTGTGCTGCGAGCCACTTCGAGTCCCAGCCTGGGAAAAAGGCAGGATATAAATAAATGGATGGGGTTGGGGATGCATCACTCTGTGTCAGGAGCAGCTTTGATGCAGCCGCAGCACAAATTTGATCTCTAGCGCCCCCCCCCTTCCTGTTTATCGCCCGGACTTTATCTCCCTGTGCGTCACACGGGTGCCATCTGCTGGCAAGCGAAAGTTAAACCAGGAGATGCGTTTCCCAATTGCAACAGGTCTGACTAGGTTTTATTTTTACAGGGACCAGCCTCCACTGAAATAAACATGTATTAGAATCCTAGAATCCTAGAATTGTAGAGTTGGAAGGGACCAAGAGGATCAACTAGTGCAGGCATAGGCAAACTCAGCCCTCCAGATGTTTTGGGACTACAACTCCCATCATCCCCAGCTAACAGGACCAGTGGTCGGGGATGATGGGAATTGTCCCAAAACACCTGGAGGGCTGAGTTTGCACCCAATGTGAGGCTCAATATGATGATGATGATGATGATGATGATGATGATGATAATATTTATACCCCGCCCTCCCCAGCCAAGACCGGGCTCAGGGCAGCTAACACCAAATATAAAAACAATTGATTGAAATACAGCTTAAAATACAAGATTAAAATACAACATTAAAACATTAAAATATTAGAATGTAGCCTCATTTCAGTGGAAACTCAAAAACATTTTTTGGGATAATGTAAATTGACTGTTAATTGGGAAATGTATTACGGTAATTTGTGTGTTTTTAATATCTAGCTATCTATATATGAATGAAATAATTTTTATTTTACAAGTGTACATTACCAAATACATATCCATATTTAGAGATTTCTCTGGCTCCCATGGGTCCTGTTATCAACCTTTTCCACTGTATATTATTTCAAGTTTTACGTCTCTCCATTTTGTCCATAGTAGTAATTTCTACATTACAAGTGTTATTGCAATCCTGCTAATGTTTTCATCTGCCTGCAGTGGTCTCTCAAGTAAATTGTAATTTTTTCCCATTCTTTATTAAAGTTTTGGTCTTCTTGGTCCCTGAGCTTGCCGGCCATTTCAGCATAGTCCAATGGCTTGATTTGCCATATTCCTCTCTGCTAGGGACTTTGTCTTCTTTCCATCTCTGGGCCAGTAATATTCGTGAACTTATGAATATTTTGATTAAGGAATCTTTTGCCCAGCATGGGGCTCAAACACCTGACCCTCTTTCTGCCTTGCCCACAGATCCTAGCTGCCTCGAGGACAACCCAGGAGCTTACGGCATGGATAACCTGACCTCCTCCGCCAGCGGCAAGGACTCGTGCACCTACCACGAGGAGTTCAAACAGATCCTGCTGCCCGTGGTCTACTCGGTGGTCTTCGTCCTGGGGCTGCCCTTGAACTTCATTGTCATCGCCCAGATCTGGCTGTCGCGCAAGTCTCTGACGCGGACCACCATCTACATGCTGAACCTGGCGGTGGCTGACCTCCTCTACGTCTGCTCCCTGCCTCTCCTCATCTACAACTACTCCCAGAAGGACTACTGGCCTTTCGGGGACTTCACCTGCCGGTTCGTGCGCTTCCAGTTCTACACCAACCTGCACGGCAGCATCCTCTTCCTCACCTGCATCAGTATCCAGCGCTACCTGGGCATCTGCCACCCGCTCTCCACCTGGCACAAGAAGAGGGGCAAAGGCTTCACCTGGATGGTCTGTGGGGTCGTGTGGTTCCTGGTGGTCGCCCAGTGCCTGCCCACCTTTGTCTTCGCCGCCACTGGGATCCAGAGGAACCGGACTGTCTGCTACGACCTGAGCCCGCCGGACCGCTCTGCCAGCTACTTCCCTTACGGGATCACCTTGACGGTCACGGGCTTCCTGATCCCCTTCGTCTCGATCTTGGGCTGCTACTGTTGCATGACCAAGATCTTGTGCCAGAAGGACGAGATGATCGGGCTGGCCGTCCGCAAGAAGAAGGACAAGGCCATACGGATGATCATAATCGTGGTCCTGGTCTTCGCCATCAGCTTCTTCCCCTTCCACCTCACCAAGACGCTCTACCTGATCATCCGCTCCATCCCCGAAGTGCCCTGCCTCACCCGGCAAGCCTTCGCCATCGTCTACAAGTGCACCCGGCCGTTCGCCAGCATGAACAGCGTCCTCGACCCCATCCTCTTCTACTTCACCCAGCGCAAGTTTCGCGAGAGCACCCGGCACTTGCTGGATAAAGTCAGCTCCAAGTGGAAGCACGACTCGTGAGGGAAGCGTCCGTGATCCTGTGCCAAGGGAGGGTTGGCGACGCCCCGTCTGCGCGGCACCGGGCGCCAGAGGGAGAGCTCGGCCTAGCGCGGCTTCAGAGGCCTAACTCTGGTTGCCATGCCAACCCTATTGGAAGGCCTTGGGAGAATGTCACTGTGTGAACAATGGACCACCGGGATGCTCTGCTCTCTTCCTTGCCTTAGGGCTGCGAGGATTCGCTCCTGCTGGTTTGGGAGATATCTGCTGCCTGTGGCTGGCGCCAATGGTCCTTCGTACCGCCATGCACCCAGAATTGAGTGGCGGAAGAACAGGAGAAATGCGACTGGCATAAAGTCAGGGACATCGAAGCCACCTTCTCCCAAGTCACTCTGCCAGTCCACCTGGCGCAGTCGTGTCTATCTGGACTGGCAGCAGATCCCCAGGGTTTTTGGCTGGAGCCGTACCTGGAAATCATAGAATTGCAGAACTGGATGGGAACCCCAAAGGTCCTCTAGTCCAACCCCCTGCAATGCAGGAATAAACGAGATTCCATTGGACACTGAACTTGAGACCTTCTGCATGCTGAGAAGATGTTCTGCCGCTGGGCTACGTCAGCTGAAGGAGAGAGGATCCTGAGAGAGGATCTCTTTAGTGAGATATTCCAGATGGACTGAATTGGCTCTGGGTGACCGGGAGTGGGTGGGGGGATCGCTTAATTGTTTAAAGCCTTTGGGGGTCACCCAGGCCTTGTTCAAGAAACAGTATTATTACCTTTACACTGAGAAAGGAGTCCTAGTCTTTCAGATCCCTTCTGAAATCAGGGGGTTCCAAGCATGAGCTGTGAACAGATCCTTTGACGACAGATCTCCAACTGGACAACGAACATCAGCAAACAAATGCAAACCCCCCCAAGTTGCTGCGATGAACTGAGAAATGGGGCGTTGTCCCGTCCGACGAGTCCTCCATCGCCACGTTTCTCTGAAGGGACCCCGTTGGAAAACCACCAGTGTTGATTGATTTGTTGTCATTTCTTTCAGAAGATGTAATAAATTTCAGGCTTGGAACCTCAGCTTATTATATACCAGCTCCTGTTTGAGCAACAGTTGTGTGGGAACCTCCTTGTGAGCCTTACGAGAGAGTTGCGCTGCGGAATCGGCCTTCGGAAGAATGCCGGCTTTCTCTTTTCCTTGCTTACCCGTAAATCAAGCAAGTTCCTAGCCCTCATGAAATCCACGGTGCCTCTGAATACCGGGTGCTGGGAACCACAAGCAGGGAGAGTGTTGCTGAGCTCAGGGCTTGCTTGTGGGCTACTCATAAGCGTCTGGTCGGTCCCTGTGAGACCAGGCTGCTGGAGTCAACGCAGTCGGAAGCGTGGTGTAGTGGTTAGAGAGACGATAATAACTGGGGGGCCCTGGGTTCAAATCCCCGCTTGGTACTGCAGGCACTTTTCCTCTCACCCCAACACACCTCACAGGGTTGTTTGTGAGGCCTCCAGGTTGAGGGGGCGGTAGGGAACTCTGCACGCTATTCTGAGCCCTTTCAAGGAAAAGTAGGATAAAAATGTAGGCATTTCCGCACGTGCATCTTTCCATTCCGGCACATCAGAGCCATCGTCGCCGTTTAAAGACATATTTCAGCCAAGCAAAAGGCCAGCTAGGTGCTTGACCCGAGGGAGCCGTTCTAGCAGCAGAAAGTGGTGCCTAAGGCAGAGGGCAAATCTGAGATTTTTCACCCCCAGCCAGTTTACTTTGCCCCAGTGCCCTGGCTCAGTTTACCTGTCTGCTCTTTTGCACGCTGGTTTCACCTGTGCCTAGGGACGCGGGTGGTGCTGTGGGTTAAACCACAGAGCCTAGGACTTGCCGATCAGAAGGTTGGCGGTTCGAATCCCTGCGACGGGGTGAGCTCCCGTTGCTCAGTCCCTGCTCCTGCCCACCTAGCAGTTCGAAAGCACGTCAAAGTGCAAGTAGATAAATAGGTACCGCTCCAGTGGGAAGGTAAACGGAATTTCCGTGCGCTGCTCTGGTTCGCCAGAAGCGGCTTAGTCCTGCTGGCCACATGACCCGGAAGCTGCACGCCGGCTCCCTCGGCCAATAAAGCGAGATGAGCGCCACAACCCCAGAGTCGGCCACGACTGGACCTAACGGTCAGGGGTCTCTTTACCTTTACTTCACCTGTGCCAGGAGGACTCCTTGCAAGATCCAGCCGGTCTTAAGAACCGATGTGGTTCTTTCTCCCTGGCAAACCTGCATCTGTTTTTCAAACCCAGCAACGCCAGGAAGGGTGCCATTCATGGCAGCCCCATGGTAGCCAGTGCGGTGTGGTGCTTGGAGTGTTAGACTAGGACCTGAGAGACCAGGGTTCGAATCCAGGGAGAACCATATATACCACCTTGAGCTCCTTGGGGGGAAAAGGTGGGATATACAGTAAGTGGAAATAATAAACAAACAAGCAACCCACCCACTGGAGCCAATCTTCCCATATGTATTTTTCTCTGCCCCTTGCTTTCAGCTACTATTTCATTCCTTGCCCAAATGCATGTGCAACAAATGTTACCTGCAACAAAATGTTGCAGCGCATCTCTCCTACCCCCCCAGCAGGAAGTGTGGTTTTTTTTCAATTTTTTTATTGATTTTCCAAAAAAATTAAACAAACAAACAAACATACATCTTAATTGTACTTAATCCAATCTTAGTAACATTATTACGTGACTTCCTCAAAGCCCCTGGGCTGAATTTCAGTGTATATCAATGTAACAGTTTTCCAAAACCAATTTTTTCATAAAATTAATTAGTCACTTAACATCTTTCTTTCTTTTCATTTTAACTTTAAACATGTTATTCTCTAACACTACATATTTAAATCCTAAGCCTATCTGGTATTTGCAAATGTTTCCAGTTAAGTTATCTTAACATATTTAACTAAATAGTCTTTGAATTTCATCCATTCCTCCTGGTAGTCCTCCTCCTTCTGGTCGCGGATTCTTCCGGTCAGGTCAGCTAGCACCAAAAAGTCCATCATCTTCATCTGCCATTCCTCCACTGTTGGGACTTCTTATGTTTTCCAATTCTTAGCTAACAAAATTCTAGCTGCAGTAGTGGCATACAAAAACAGTCTAACATCTTTCTTGGGCAATTCCAGACCTGTTATTGCAAGAAGAAAGGCCTCTGGTTTCTTAATAAATGTATATTTCAACATGTTTTTCCAATTCATTATAAATCTTCTCCCAGAAGTCTTTCACCTTGGGGCAGGTCCACCACATAGGATAAAAAGTACCTTCTTTTTCTTTACATTTCCAACATAAATCATCACTATTATGAGATATCTTTGCCAATTTTACAAGAGTTAAGTACCACCCAGCAGAAAGTGTTGCAGCTTCCGCTAGGTAATTCAGTCCTTCCTCCTGAGGAACTCCAGGTTGTGGGGGCACCTTTTTCAACCCAACAGCCACAAATCCTTCTGAGCAACCTTACAGGATCCACATTCCAGGAATGGGTGAAGCTGGAAGCAAAATGGGGTGCGGGGCAAGATAACCTATATGATTTTGACCTCTTATATTCCAGACTTTCTTCTCCACACACACACACACACACACACACACACACACACACACACACACCATCCATCTCCCAGGCAAGCAAGAATTCATCAGAGTTGGAGGACGCATTTGAAAATCAGGCAGAGACATTAATGGGAGAAGCAAAGCAGTGATTGGGCTGGGTGCGGCTGGGGAGGGGGTGTGTAGCCTGAGGAGAGTCCCTGGGGCCAGGTGAAGAGGGCTGGAGGGCCACATTCAGCCCTAGGGTCTTCCAGGAGCGAGAAAGCAGCAAATCGCACTGTGCAAGTAGGAGTTAACTCCTTATTAGCAAGAACACAATCTGCACAGACTGAGTGGAGTGTCAGGCCTAATGGGGACAGCAGCGCATCCCCGGTAGGCCTGGGTCACCCATGGATCAGTTGCCAAGACTGAAAGTCCCCTCCACCCCACAGCCATCCAAGTCCTCTTGAAGCAATCGGAGACTGCGCCTACATGTAACCAACCTCTCCTCCGCCCTCTGCATGCCTCTTCTAGTACTGGGAGACCCATAGCTGTCAACTTACAGATATGAAAATAAGGGACCCGCAGCCTCAAAAATAAGGGATCAGCAGCCAAAATAAGGGATTTTCCAGGCACAGGTATGTTCAGCTTCTGAGCCCCTCTGAGCCGAAGGCAGAAAGCCCAGCCAGCAGCCAAACGAAGCCTCAAGAAAAACCACCATCACCTCTCCGCTGGGAAGCGCTGAGCAAAGGCGAGTCCCCAGCAACGCAGCCGATTTGATCAGCGCAAGGCATGCAAGCTCCACCCCCCAGTCATTCTTAGACTTCTTATTGGGTGAGCAACGCAGCCAAGCAACACAGTTGGAGCCTCCCTCCTCCCTGGCCGGCAGGAGGGAGGGAGAGGAGCTGCTTCCTTTGAAACCTGGGAAATTTAAGGGACATCATCAATAAGGGACAGCAGCGGGACACAGCGCTGGGATAAGGGACTGTCCCGCCAAATAAGGGACGCTTGACAGCTATGGGGAGACTAGGATGGAAGGGGAGTGTGTTGCAGCAGGAGGGAGAGACACGTAGGACTCTTCACCAGCGGGACTCATCTGTCTCTTGGCCTGCTTCCACTTCTGTACTTCTCTGCCACAGATTCTCCCCGCTCACAAAGCCCTGTTCCCTTTCCATCTTCTGACCCCTCCTCCTCCCAGTCCTTTCCCTTTCTGTACCTACTGAGCTTGTTCAAGGCTCACTGGGCCCATGGCTGGTGTGATTTTTCATTTCAGAAATGCAGATCTGGGGGGGCTGCTCTCTGCCTGTCAACGCCTCCCTCTCGCTTCTCACCCCCTGAGTTTCAGAGTAAGCGACGCCTTGCTTTGCAAACGGTCTCTGTACCCATGTAGGTGAATTTGAATGCTGCAAAATAGTACGCCTCCCTTTGCAAGATGTTCCCAGTATTTACTTTTTTCCTTTCAAGCTTCAGCTCTATAAATAACTAGCTGTCTCGCTTAAATTTCCCCCCTCCTGTGTGTCCTTGCTGTTTGCTGTTGTGGGTTGAGGATTTGTGAATGCCTTTGAGAATGTCTTTGTAAGCTCCTTGGGGCAGGGAACAGTGTTGTTTGTATAACTTCCTATGGTCCTCTCTAAATAAAGAGAGTTCTCCTGCTTGCACCTCTAACAAGTTGCAGTGTTGTCCAGCTTTGTTTTGTGCACACAGGTTAAAGTAAATTGTACAGCGTTCGTGGTGGTGGTGGGTGATTCTAGATTCAATAGCTTTTTGTGTGGAGCAATTTGATCCTCTGGGGTATCTGATAATACAAAGCCCATCATCCACAGCCGGCATGACGGTGGATGATGGGAGTTGTAGTCCAAAACGTCTGGAGGGCACCACCGGGTTGTTGAAGACTGGAATTGGCGGCAATTGTACTTAGGAGGGGCTGAAAGGTTTGGGGTGCCCTCTCCCCTCCTGTGTTTTCCAGCAGCTGGAATTCAGAAGTGTTGCTTTCTCCCAGAGTCGAGCCATCCTGGCTACGAGTAGTCGAGAGCTTTCCCCTCCTTGATTTGGCCAGCAACTCAGATCAGCCTCAGCCAGCAGGGCCAGTGGCCAGGGATGATGATGATGATAATAATAATAATAATAATTTTATTTATACCCCACCCTCCCCAGCCAAGACTGGGCTCAGGGTGGCTAACAACCAATAAAAAAATCAAGTTGATTGAAATACAACTTAAAAACAAGATTAAAATACAACATTAAAATGCAGCCTCATCACAGGAGGAGAAAGGAAAAAAGAAGAGGGGGGAGGGAATCAAATTGACTCCAAGCCAAAGGCCAGGCGGAACAACTCTATCTTACAGGCCCTGTGGAAAGAAATCAGATCCCGCAGGGCCCTGGTCTCATGAGGCAGAGCGTTCCACCAGGCCGGGGCCAGTGTTGAAAAGGCCCTGGCCCTGGTTGAGACTAATCTGACTTCCTTAGGGACCTCTAGGGTATTGCTATTTATGGACCTTAAGGTCCTCTGCGGGGCATACCGGGAGACACGGTCCCGTAGGTACGAGGGTCCTAGGCCGTGAAGGGCTTTAAAGGTTAAAATCAGCACCTTGAACCTGACCCTGTATTCCACCAGGAGCCAGTGCAGCTGGAAAAGCACTGGGTGAATATGCTCCCATGGCAGAGACCCCGTGAGGAGCCTTGCTGCAGCATTCTGTACCTGCTGGAGTTTCTGGGACAGCTTCAAGGGCAGCCCCACGTAGAGCAAATTACAGTAGTCAAGCCTGGAGGTGACCGTCCCATGGATCACTGTGGCCAGGTCGGGGCGGGAAAGGGAAGGGACCAACTGCTTGATAAAGGCAGTTTGCTGCTAAAGGAAGAGAACAGCACATTGGAGCATCTGCACGGCTGTGGTTGCACATCGGAAACCGAGGCTCAAAGAATTTACACAGCTCCCTAGGCATAATCGAGTCCATCCTTTGTGTCTCAGACGAACCTACCTCACAGGGTTGTTGTGCGGAGCGGATCTCAGAGGTCTACTTTTGAGGCGACCTACTAGTGTCCCATTTCCCTTCTACTCCCCAGACCCCACCTGACCCCTAACTTCCTTTGCCTTTCTCCTGGGGTGTGTGTGGTGGTACCTGGAGGTTTCAATGGCTATGAGCCAGGTCACACACCCTCCATCCTTTCTGTGATAAGAGATGTCCCCTCCAACATTTCTCTGATGAAAAGAAAGGGACCCCTGACTGTTAGGCCCAGTCACGGACAACTCTGGGGTTGCAGCGCTCATCTCACTTTACTGGCTGAGGGAGCCGGCGTACAGCTTCCGGGTCACATGGCCAGCATGACTAAGCTGCTTCTGACAAACCAAAGCAGTGCACGGAAACGCCGCTTACCTTCCCGCCAGAGTGGTACCTATTTATCTACTTGCACTGGTGTGCTTTCGAACTGCTAGGTTAGCAGAAGCAGGGACCGAACAACAGGAGCTCACCCCATCGTGGGGATTTGAACCGCCGACCTTCTGATCGGCAAGCCCTAGGCTCCATGGTTTAACCCACAGCGCCACCCGCGTCCCTTTCTGTGATAACATTTGTCTGATGAAAATAGGGACGTCCTATTTCGGAAAATGGGTAAAAGCCTCAGAGAAGCTGCTAGGAGTTGTTGTCATCCGTCCCCACCGATGTATTTCTTATCCATAAAAAAATTGGTGTGGCTGAAAGTGTGGACCAGAGGAACCGCTGTTTTGCTCTCCCAAAAAAGAGACCTTGGAGCATTTTACAGGAGATGCTGTTTGGTTATAGTGTAACCAGCGAATGCCACCAGCAGAGAACATCGGTTCAGATCAGAGATGGGGAGCAGAGCTTCTAATCAGTAACTCATTGACAGCAGGCAAGAGTCTTAGAATGCCTTGATGGCTCATTCCTGACAAACCTTCGCAGGGGACCTGCCAGAACCATGCGGAAGTGGTAGCCAGCCCAGCAGAAGCTCCAGGCCACAGAGATGACACCCTCCCAGTCACGGGTATATTACAGGGCAGCGATGAGGATTCATTGATTCATAGAGCTGTAAGGGACCCTAGCGGTCATCTAGCCCAACCCCCTGCAATGCAACACAGGACTCGAACCCACAACCCAGCGATTTAAGAGTCTCGTGTTCTACCAACTGAGCTACCGCAGGCAGGCAGCCTGTGTTCTTACAGACGCTGACGGACCCCCGACTCTCATCAGTCCCTGCAGCCAAACATGGCCCGACATAGCTTACAGCCCAAAATCTGCTGCCGGAAGTAGAATAAGAGAACGTGATACAAAGGAGAATGATATTGATTTATTTCAGATAAGTGAATTCATTGGAGCTACCTCCGCCAACTTGGAGCCCTCCAGGTATTGAGGGATGAGAGGCAGTATGGTGTAGCGGTCAGAGCGCCAGACAAGGATCCGGGAGAGCAGGGTTTGAATCCCCACTTGTCCGCGGCAACGCTCCTCCTGGGGAAGCCTCTGCCTCTTAGCCTATTCTACCTCACAGGGATGTTGTGGAGATAAAATGAGGAGGGGGACAAGGACCACGTGTGCCGACCTTGAGCTCCTTGGGGAGAGAAAAAGAGGGGATATAAGTGCAATAAATGGCTACTTGGGACTGCAGCTCCCATCATGGCGTCTGGAGGGGGCAACTTGGGGGTGCTCTGAGATGAGACGACATACGCACTGTATACCTTTAAAACACATTTCACACACCCCCATCCAAAGAATTTTGGGTATTGTAGTTTGAGAAGGGGCATCTGGGAACTGTAGTTCTGAAAGGCATACAGCTCCCAGAATTCTTTGAGGGAAAGAATGTGCTTTGAGGGTGCTTCAAAAGTGACATGTGCTTGCAAGCTAATGCACCCAGTGTTTAACTGTTTGGTCTGCCTTCGACACATAGCTCGCTCCTGTGGGTGCAAAAGTGTTCTTTAATGAGCAACAGTGCTCGTAATTTTATTTTATTTAAAAAATACCCATACAACAGGCAGAAACCAACAGGTGAAGCTTTTCCAGAATGCACCTCTGCAACTGTACCTTCTCATTCATGCTTGATGAAAAGTCCATTTTTATTTGACTTGCAGCCTTGCAGACCACTTGAAAGCTAATGTTTGAAAGTGTGTCTTCAATGAAAGATACCTATGCTAAACACGGATGCCTTAGAGCAGTCATTGCATTCAAATAGGGTTGCCATGTGTCCCCTCCCCCCCCCCCAGAACATGTCCTATTTTTCAGGGGTAAATTTTGAGACCAATTGCATCTATTTGCTTTGAACGGCCGTCCTCGCGTCCTCAGTTCTGCTCTTCGAAATACAGCAAGCCCAAGAAGAGAACCGAGTTCTTTAAAAACAGTAAAATTAATAAACCACGTTTCTTAAAAGTACACCCAGAGCTCTCATTTGCTCCTTCCAAAAACACCAGCTGCAAGTTTGCATTTAGATCTGGATTCAAACGCTGGTTCGGCCAAAGGATTCCCTAACACGCCAAAACGTTTTATTTCACTCTCGATTCCTGTCTGTGAAATGGGTCTATTTATATCCTACCCCAGAAAGGCAGGGAAGATAGCAAACATGTATACATAGGAATATGCACACAAGTGAAGACAGCTGCACAGTTGCTAGCGTTCAATCGGTAGATGGTGCCCAAATCGCTTCCAGAGGAAACGGGCTTTCCCAGGCCTTACGAGTTAAAAGCAACAACACTATTAAAATATTTGGCTGCAATCCTAGCCCATTAAAGTCAATGGGAATTTTGGAACCGACTTCAGCAGAGGGAGCAAAGATCACACCCTTTCCATTCCTGACTTGCTACCTCAAAAACGGAGGGAGCCTTGGAAAGGAAGAGCTCTGATTTGGCCCTGATCGGAAGGCCACATCCTCTAAACAGAGAAATGGAAACTGACAAAACTCAAAGGCATAACCCAGCTGGAGATTCGCTTTGGGGGCAACTTGGTGCAGGAGATGCTCCCGCTGGAGTGCACCGCCAGCGCATCCACGGAGGACAGGCCCACCAATGGCTTTTTGTCACGGCTATTGCTATGGAGGAGCTCCCTGTGCAGGAGCAGTCTACCTCTGAGTATCAGTTTGCTGGGGAGCAATCGTAGAGGGAGCAATCGCTTCCAGGTTTTCTTCCTTGAAGCGTCTGGCAGGACACTGTGCGAAGCCAGACGCTGGCTTAGAGAAGTCCTGGGGTCAGATCCAGAAAGCAGTTTTTACGATCCTCCTGCGCCCAGCGAGCTGCCTTCAAGGGCGCTTGTTTGCAGAACCGACTCTCGCAGCGCAACGCTTTGGCACAACCCGATCCTATGCCCCTAGAAACAAGCCTTGCATAGGATGGCGGTTGCGAGGCCTCCTCCTGCAGGTTTCAGGGTCTCGCGGCTGCAAGACCTGGAAGTCGAAATATAATATCCCTTCCGAAGAGACAAAGGGGGGTGACTCCTCGTTTCCTCCTCCTCCTCCTCTCTCTCCCTTTTTAATTGCACAAGAAATGTTCCCAGAGACTTTGCTTTGCAAAAGACCATCCCCCTTTTCGTCTTCCTTTTTTTGAAAAAAGGAAGAAAAGAAACCACGCCTCTTGAGGGGGAAAGTTTATGTGAAATGCTAAAAAAAAAAAGGCAAAGGGAAAAAAGAACCACGCAAAAATAAACACAACAAACAAACGGCTGGAGAGAGTAAGGCGGGATGCCGTTTGCAACGCCGCCGGGGGCTCCTGCAACCATTTTTTTAAATTACTTTTTGTAAATTATTTTATTTTTTTTAAAAATGCACGATGGCGAGAAGGGCCCCCCGACCCCCACCCCCGGCCCACCAACCCCGGAGAATTCCTGCGCATACTTGGAAGGGCGCTTCTTCGTCTTCTTTGCACTGAGATGCGGCGAGGGGCTCTCCCGTTGAATCCGACGGGCCGGCCGGATTCCTGGGCCTGAAAGTTTGGCGTCGCAACCATCACCCTCGGCTTTCCTTCCGCTTCTCCAGCCACCGGGATCTTCTTTCTTCTTCTGGGAAGGAAAAGAACCAGAAGTCCGGGTCGCGGGTAGTGGGGAAACGGCGGTTGCACCTCCCCCGGGAGCCTGGATCGAGCAAAGGGAAAAAGCAAATCTGCAAGGCTGCGATCTCCCTTCCTCCCCTTTTTGTGCATTGTTGCAAAATCCAGCGCGGGCTGCTACTGCAGCCGTCCACCCGCCCCGCTTCAAACTGAACTGCAAAACTGTGCGAACTTGCCTGGAAGTTTGGCTGCTGCAAGATCTGCCTCTCTCTCTCTGCCGCTTCCACCCCCCCCCCCAAAAAAGGCCGCCCCCACTTTCTTTGCACGGCGGAAAGGAAGCGCGGATGGGCGCCGGCGCGGTGCCCCGGACGGTTTAGAGAGAGGGGGAGCCAGGAAGGGGGCGATTCCGGGGGTGGCTTTGGAAAGCTGGGCGCGTAAAAACAATGGCGGAGGGGGAGGCCGGGAGCAGAAGCCCCCTTTCCCGGAGCGCCTCGTGCAAGCGCCTCGAGAGGTGGATCGGGCCCGAGGAGCGGGCCGGAGGAGGCGGCGGCATCGGCGGCCCCCGGGGGGAGCGGGAGGCGGCGGCGCGCCCGGGCGCCCAGCCGTGCCAGGGTCAGCCTCCAAGCGCCAGGGCGCAGCAGCAGCCGCCGCCGTCGCCAGCACAGCCCATCGGACGGCGATCGCCCAGCCGAGCTGCTTCGTTCAGCGTCTCCCGCAGCGTCGCCAAGCTCTCGTCGTCCTCGCCTTCTCCCGGGCCGGATCCTGCTCCTCCTCCGACGCCGCTGCCGGGCGGCCGAGCCCTGCGGAGCCTGTCGCCGTCGGTGCGCCAACTTTCGCGGCGCTTCTGCGCGCCCCAGAGCGAGCCGGGCGCGGGGAGAGGAGGCTCCTCCACCTGCGCCGGGGCCAGGGAAGACCAGGCGGCTCGGCCCGCCGATGAGACGCCGGCAGCCGCCGCCGCCGAGCAGCCTCCTCCTCCGCCTCCTCCTCGGGGGAAAGGACTGAGCGAGCCCCCCAAAGGCGGAGACGCGGCGCTCGACTGGCCCAGCGTGACCGAGATGCGCAAACTTTTCGGAGACGGCTTTCGACGGCAACAGCAGGGAGGCCCCCGAGGCGACCCCGTCGAGGAAGGCGCGGCACCGCGCGCCCCCCAAGACCAAGCCGGGGATCTGGGGCACCTGCCGGGCAGCATGGACGGCGCCCCCCGCCTCCTGCCCGATGGGGCGGCGCCCGGGCGCAGGGAGGAAGAGAGGCCCCGCGTCGCGGAGCAGCGCCGGGAGGCCCCCCCGACGCCTCCCCCGCGCAGCTGCATCCCCTTTCGGACCCACCGCCTGCCCGCCCCCCGGACCGAGGCGGAGAAGTTGCCGCAGCCGCCGCCGCCACTTCGGGAGAGTTTACATTCCTGGCATAGTTGGACGCTGCTGCCAGCTGCCTCCTCGTCTTCCTCTTCTTCCTCCTCGTCCTCTCCAGCCGTCCTTCTCCTGGGCGAAGGTGGAAGCAGCAGCTTCAGGCCAGGGGAGATTTCCAGCAGCGAGGAGGAGCTGATGGCCAGGCCCAAGGGGGCCCCCCAGCCGGCTGCCTGCTCCCCCCCTGGCGGCAACGGCTGGCACGGATCTCCCCACGAGAGGTCCTCGGGGAGCGAGGAGGAGAACCGCCTGGCCGCCCCCAGGAAGCGCTCCCTCCGGAAGAAAAAGAGGGACCCCTTGCCTCAAGAACAGGCCTCAGACAGCGATGGGCTGGTGGCGGGGATGGAGTGGTACCTCAAGGCCCAGGAGGACCTGGCGCAGACTCTCTCCCTGCCCTCTGACGAAAGGACTAGGCTGTCTCCCGAGGTCAAGGCCTCAGCCACCGCCAGCTTGCTGGGCGAGGCCAAAGCTGCAGGCGAGGGCCCCATCTTGGGCCGAGGCCCGCTGGAAGGCGGCGGCAGCAGCAGCAGCAGCTCCTTGCTTGGCACCCACGGGCCCCTATCCTCGGCGCCCACTCTCCCGCTCGTCTCCCGAGTCTCCAAAGTGAACATACCCCCTTTCTCCCCGAGCCCCTGTGGGTCGCGAAGCAGCAGCAGGTATTCCAGCACCGAGACGCTGAAAGAGGAGGACCAGTTTGGGGCCTCCTGGCCTGGCCATGGCAGGGGCTCGCAAGGGGGTCCGGGCCTGTTCCGCTCCCCGAGCTTCAACCAAAGCGACAGCCTGGCTCGGCTGCAGGCTCAGGTCCGCGCCCGCCCCAAGTTCCCCTTGGGGATCGTCCGAGCCAAGCAGGACTTCCCTCCGTACGAGAACCTGCGTGGCGTCGGCCTGGAGGCAGCAGAGAAGTCCAGGAACAGGAAGTCCATGTCGAACCCGGATATTGCGACCGAGACGCTGGCGCTGCTCAGCTTCCTGAAGTCGGACCTCTCGGATCTGAAGGCCAGCAGGAAGGACGGCAGAGCCAGCCAACTCGAGGAGGAGGAGGAAGAGGCCTTTGGTGGCGGCAGGTGCAGAAGTTACCAGTATGGCCTGGCTGGACAGCAGCTGGTAGGTAGAACCCAAAGCGAGGCTCAGCCACCAAACCGGTGGGCACCGGGCGGCAGCCGGCCGACTCTGAAAGACCTCACAGCGACCCTGAGGCGGGCCAAGTCTTTCACCTATTCGGACAAACCCGTTCCCCGCAGGCTCTTCCACCAGAGCGCGATGAAGCAGAGCTCCTCCGAGCTCCTCCTCACCAACGCCGGCGACCAAGATGCTGTTTGCGGCCGTGAAATTGGCCAGGGCGGCGAGGGCGGCGAGTTGCCCGTTGTCATCCAAGACCAGTACATCCAAGAAGCCAGGCAGGTCTTCGAGAAGATAAGCAAGATCGGCTCCCAGCACGATTACAACTTCGGTCTGGACCAAAAGGACGTCAGAAGCGTGGAAGGCGAAGGAGAGGATGTGGAAACGTGGAAGGAGGGAGCTGTGGAAGAAGGCCGCGGGCAGGGATTGCAGAAGGTGGACTCCGAAGGGACCCTGTCTGGCGGGAAGTCTTTAGAGGAACTCTCGGGTCCTGAATCCAGCATGACAGACGAAGGCATCGTAACCGAGCCCGAAACAGGCCCTGCCTACAGTTACCTTAACCCGTCGGTTGCGGCCTGGAAGCACCAAAGAGGAAGTGAAGGCAGCCTGTCCGCGGTGAGCTTTCCAAACCACACAGCCAAAGTGAACAGCGAGAAGTTGGGCACCGCCGAAGAGGCCCTTCCCAACGCCAAGACAGCGCTGGAGGCGCCTTCTACGCCCAGTGCTCTCCGCCGGCGTAGGAAGTTCCCTTCGGTGGGGAATGGCACCTCCGAGTCCAGCAGCGGGAGCAACGGTGAGTCCAACGGCGAGGCCTACCGGTCTTTAAGCGACCCCATGCCGCACAGGAGGTCCTCCCTCACGGACGACGCAAATAACTTCTCCGTGGACAGTAACCTCCTGGGGTCGCTGAGCTCCAAGCCGGGGATGCCAGAGGCCTCTGCCGTCGCTCTCTCCGAGTGCGCTGCCAGCGCCGCCAGCGACCTGTCGGTCTGCAGCGAAGGCGTCAAAGACTACAGCACCGTGATCCAAAACATCGTCAGCCAGCCCGGCGCCCTGGACAAAGTGATTGACGAGAAGGGAAACGGGAAGACCATCAAGAAGAAGTCGTTCAGCGACCCCAGCCGCCGCGGAGAGCTGTCCGGCGCCGGCTTTGACGGCCCCGGGGAGCCCATCAGCGAGATGGACCAGAGCATCCCTCCCTCCAGCAGCGAGCCCATCCTGTCGGACCAGGTGAGGGAGGCCGACGGGGCGAAACTGTACTCCCAGTCCGAGCACATCTTGCCGGCGGCTCCAGAGGGTGACACGGCTGACGTGGCTCCGAGCTACGGCTTCAACCCGAAGCTGGCCGAGGTGTTGTCGCCCAGGATTGTCCGCCGAAGCTCAAAGAAGCGCAGCAACAGGGCCAGCTCGCAGGAGGGCAGGGCGGAAGACCCCGATCTGCCCCCCGCCGTCGCCCCTTCCGCTCTGGGGAGAGCCAGGCCGCCCTCCAAGCACACCCGCCACGCCAGCGAGCCTGCCACCTTCATCCCCATCGCAGGCGCCAACACCCCCCCTCCGTTGAGCCAGAACGTCCACGGGGCCACGCCAGACCTCCCTCGTCTGCTCGCGAAACCCTACCCAGTCCTCCAAACCCCTTCGCTGGAAGATGTCACTAAACACTACATCTTGGCCCTCAGTGAGCTGCCCTCCGCCGGCTCGGTGGATACGCCCAGATCTTCGCCCGCCACGCCGACCACGTCTGAGCCCAAACTGCCCAGGTGCCCGAAGCATCATGAGGAGCCGGGCGCCGGGCTGGCCAGGAGCAAGCCACAAGTGGTGAGTTGTAAGATATTTTAATTTGGTAGGGGCTAAGAGCTTTTGTCTTCGGTTTGGAGGGAGGATTCCACCTTTACAGATGGAGTTGCAAGATCTGGGCTTGAGTGGCGTGGGGTTGGGAGTCCCCACCTGCTTTTGAGCGTGGCTGAGCTTTGGTGCAGCTGTAAATGCAACGTGCTGTGCTGGAAACTGGCGTCCTGGTAGAGATGATTGGCACCACGGAATTGGTTGTCAGTGGAACGTTTTGGGAAAGGATCCCAGCCTCCTTGCAAAAGTTGCATGGAGATGGTTGGTTCTGGAGAGGAAACTGTTGTGTGGAAATACCATGTGCATCTGTGATCTGGCGGGTCTGTGCTGCTGTCCAGATGTTACTTCATTTTTCATTTCGCTTTTAATTTGTACTCACGCCCCTTGTAGTGATCTGATCCTGTACAAAAAGTCGTAATGAAACATAACTTTAGAATGAAAGGCTTAACATCAAGTGGCGTTCAACCATCTGTTTGAATATAACAGCACACAATAAAATTCACAAAACGCCAGCAAATAATAACAGAAATCCACTCTTAACCATTGCAATGATTACCAAACTATGATAAATAAAAAAATAACACCAAGTCACAGTGCATAAAATGCCACGGTACGTAAAAAGCCGTGTAAAATAAGGTTGCCAGATTTTTTTCAATGAACCTGGGGACACTTTTCAACTTCCTACTAAACAGATGGATTTTGTCAGGGGGCTGATTTGTAAATCTGGGGACTGTCCCCGGGAAACGGGAACATCTGGTAACCTTAGTGTAAAAGGATCAAATTGAGAAACAAAGACTTATAAAATAATTCCTAATGCTCATGCTCAAGTTGACCCGAGACGGCTGCACCAATATCAGTGTTTTATGGTGTAAGGCTGCAGCCCACTGTCTCCCCCAAAATTCCTGGTTGAGGAGTAAACAATTTATTCCTCTGTGTTCGGTTGACATGCTTAGGGCTTGTGGTGGCGAAGATCTTGAGAGGTTTGATGTCGGGATAAGAGGTTCCTAGAGGAAGCACAGGCCCAGCTCTATCCAAAGAGCTTAGCTTTCCTTCTGGGAAACCCAGTTCCTAGTGAAGCGTTGGAACTGTGCACCCAGTAGGACAGCCTTGCGATACTTGCTGACTTGTGGTGTCTGTGTGCCCAGGACACTTTGCTCTGGCTTGCGCACATGCTCACAGGTCCAGAGAACTGTTCTCTTCCTTGCCTTATATCATTCCTGCCTTTGTGGAAGAGGCATCGCTCCATGGTACGACATCTGCCTTTCATGCAGGAGGTTGCGGGTTCAATTTCCCAGGGAAGGACTGGGAATCAATGTTAGAAATTCAGATACAGTGGTAGCTCGGGTTACAGACGCTTCAGGTTACAAACGCTTCAGGTTACAGACTCCGCTAACCCAGAAATCATACCTCGGGTTAAGAACTTTGCTTCAGGATGAGAACAGAAATCGTGCTCCGGCAGCGCAGCGGCAGCAGGAGGCCCCATTAGCTAAAGTGGTGCTTCAGGTTAAGAACAGTTTCAGGTTAAGAACGGATCTCCAGAACGAATTAAGTTCTTAACCCGAGGTCTGCGCATGTGCGGGTCGTGATTTGGCGCTTTTGCGCATGCGCAAAGCGTGATTTAGCATTTCTGCGTATGCACAAGCGCCGAAACCCAGAAGTAACCCATTCCAGTACTTCCGGGTTCGGCGTGGTGTGCAACCTGAAATCGCACAACCCGAAGCATCTGTAACCCGAGGTATGACTGTATATAAGTGAATCGCCACATGGTGCCTTAAACCTAGGTTAAGGTCATCACAGTGTTCTGGCGACATTTACCCCCCTGCAGTGGGATGTTGTTGTTGTTGTTGTTGTTAATTTCATTTCCATACCACTTTATATTTTAAAGGAAAAAAATCAGAAGTGGTTTGCAACACGTCAGAACAGCAACTAAAACAATCCAGGATAAAACAAATGCAAATTTCTTGGGAAATATTTCAGATCCTTCTCTTAGTGATGTTGGGCTTGCCCCATGTTTATTTACTGACTTAATTTATAGAGCTGCCCCCAACAGAAGGACTCTAGGGAGCCAGGATTGTGTAGTGGTTAGAGTGTTGGACTAGGACCTGGGAGGTCCGGGTTCGAATCCTCACTCAAGTCATGAAGCACACTGGGTGACCTTGGAGTCAGTCTCAGCCTCCTAACCTACATTGCAGGGTCGTCATAGGGATTAACTGAGGGGTGGGGGTGAACCATGTACTCCATGGAGAAAAAGGTTAGATATACAGTGGTACCTCGGGTTACATACGCTTCAGGTTACAGACTCCGCTAACCCAGAAATATTACCTCAGGTTAAGAACTTTGCTTCAGGATGAGAACAGAAATCATGCTCTGGCGGCGCAGCGGGAGGCCCCATTAGCTAAAGTGGTGCTTCAGGTTAAGGACCTCCGGAACGAATTAAGTACTTAACCTGAGGTACCACTGTAAAGGCAGTATGTAAGCTCTTCTGCTGACCTGCTTAAGAAAGGGGGGGGGGCAGCCAGGTGGAGATGTCAGTCGGCCAACCTGCTGCCCAGAGATCTCCATGTGGTCGCAGTGGATCCATGGCAGTCGCCAAATGCTCCTGCCCCCTGGGGGATTTCGAACACAGGCCTGAAACCCTGGAGAGCCGCTGCTGGCCAGTGCAGACAAAACTGATTTAGATGGACAAAGCATCTTACTCAGTAAGGTCCACAAATGACAACATTTTGGAGGTCCCAAGTCTAAAGGTGGTTAGGTTGGTCTCAAGTAGGGCCAGGGCCTTTTCAGCACTGGCCCCGACTTGGTGGAACGCTCTGTCATGAGAGACCAGGGCCCTGTGGGACTTGACATCTTTCCTCAGGGCCTGCAAGACGGAGCTGTTCCGCCTGGCCTTTGCTTTGGACTCAGTCTGACTCTTATGTTCCCCTCCCCTTCTGGTCTTGATCTATTGGCTACTTTTAAAACGAGGCTGCATTTTAAATTGCATTTTAACCTGTATTTTAAATTGGTCCCCCCCCATTATGTTTTTACTGTAATTATTATTATTACAAGACAGCCTGTAGCTGAATCTGGGTAGGGAAACGGTGTGGTTTGAACGCTCTTCTGCACAAAAGAACAAAAGGTTGCAGGTTCGATACCCGTGTGGGGCAGCTAGCTGCATATTCCTGGATATTCCTGGATGATGCTCAGAGTCCCTTCCAGCCCCGCAGTTCTTTGATTTTGTGATCTCCTTGCGCTTAGAGTTCCAGGCTGGCTTTTTCCTCCGACGTGCTGGTTTTCTCCCGCAATTGCGGGGGGAGACGCATTCATTCAGCCACGGAGTTTCTCCCACCTCCAGCCCAGTCGCAGGACGGTTTTGCCAGCTTGGCTGGGCTCTCTGCGCATCAGCCAGGAAGGCCCAGGAGTTTGCTTGCGCCCAAAGAGAAGGGAGCCACGTGGTGCTGGACTCGGTGCTATCATGTGTGAACGCTGCCAGCAATAGTTCCCTGGACTGCTATATAAGGTCTCCGCAAAGTGTTAATCCGTTGGCTGGCTGTAGCCGATTTTGTGCCTAGAACATTGGATGAAAAAAAAAGGAGAGTTTTCAACTCCTCTGTAGGGGGTTTAGACGGCCTTCTCTCCGTTTTATTTGATTACTTTTATTTTTTCCATTTGCTGTTGTTTCTGATGTTCTGCCCGTTGTCATGCAAAAGCGAACAGTTTTTTTATTATTATTATATATTTTAAAAAGAAAAAAGAAAACCTCTTTAATATCTCAACATTCCTGCATATGGGTATCTTTTTGTGGGAAGGAATGCAGTGCTTCTCAGATTCGTATTTTGTTTTTGTGCGACAGAGAGGAACGGTTTCTTTTTCGAAAGCAGGCTTGCGACAACGCAGAGGAATGTGAAAATAAACGGGGATATAAGATAAAGTTCACACGTATTGAACGTAAGGTTTCCATATATGCATATACACGTACATATAGCTCCGCTGGTAGAGCATGAGATGCTTAATCCCAGGGTTGCGGGTTCGAATCCCATGCTGGGCAAAAGATTCCTCCATTGCAAGGGCTTGAATCAGATGACCCTTCTAGTTCCTTCCAGCTCTATGATTCTAAGGAAGGACTTCTGATTAAGATTGTTAAAGCACAATATAAATTTAAGAAATGTGAGTAATTGTGATAATATGGAAAATTGTCAGACAGGCTGAGGGAAGTCTAAAAGATGTATATGTTAGAAGTGGATGTTAAACATGGATGGAATGCATATTGGAAATTGAATAAAAATTAATTATATATATTTAAAAAAAGATTCTAAGGAAGGACTTCTTGCAGAGTTCATCTGTAGAATTTGCATGTTTTATGCCCTGTGTGGTTGTAATTTTGCAAGTTTGCAATCAGCATGGATAACCTAGATTTCTTTGTGACTGCATGTAGGAAGTCACAGTAGTCACCCATCAGAGACCTCCCTCCATCTCTCTTCTGGAAGTCTTCTGCCCCAGAGAGGAAGACAACTAGTGTTTCGCCCCTAAAGTTTTATATTTGCCTACAGAGGTATAAATAAGATTGTTAAAAAATGGACCTGATCTTGCATCCATCCTGGGGCCCATCTAATTCAGGTTTCGGACAAGGGCGAAGTTAAATGCAGATCACACTGAAAGGCAAACCTGCCCAGTCCATGCTTTGCGAAACAGTAGGTGAACCAACGGGGACGCGGGTGGCGCTGTGGGTAAAACCTCAGCGCCTAGGACTTGCCGATCGTCAGGTCGGCGGTTCGAATCCCCGCGGCGGGGTGCGCTCCCGTTGCGCTGGCTCGCCAGATGCAGCTTGTCACGCTGGCCACGTGACCCGGAAGTGTCTCCGGACAGCGCTGGCCCCCGGCCTCTTAAGTGAGATGGGCGCACAACCCTAGAGTCGGACACGACTGGGCCGTACGGACAGGGGTAACTTTACCTTTAGGTGAACCAACAGTGGGACACGGGTGGTGCTGTGGGTTAAACCACAGAGCCTAGGACTTGCCGATCAGAAGGTCGGCGGTTCGAATCCCCGCGACAGGGTGAGCTCCCGTTGCTCGGTCCCTGCTCCTGCCAACCTAGCAGTTCGAAAGCACGTCAAAGTGCAAGTAGATAAATAGGTACCACTCCGGCGGGAAGGTAAAGGGCGTTTCCGTGCGCTGCTCTGGTTCGCCAGAAGCGACTTAGGCATGCCGGCCACATGACCCGGAAGCTGTATGCCAGCTCCCTCGGCCAATAAAGCGAGATGTGCGCCGCAACCCCAGAGTCGGCCACGACTGGACCTAATGGTCAGGGGTCCCTTTACCTTTAGGTGAACCAAAGCACAAACATCTTTCAAAACATGTTTTGCAGTGTACTTTTCCAGCCAAGCGAAAAAATGCATTCGCTTGGAGGGAGTGTGAATAAATATGTGCATGCTGGTAAAAAGAACATGCAGAAAGTGCATTCTTATGGGGGGGGGAATTTGCTTTGCATATGCAGCTCAGTTGGTTAGAGAACGCCGCGCTGATAACGCCAAGGTTGCAGGTTCGAAGCCCGTATGGGACAGCTGCATATTCCTCCATTGCAGGGGGTTGGACCAGATAATTGTCAGGGTCCCTTCCGACTCTACATTTCTATGATCCCCCCCCATGTGTCTGTTAAGATAAAATTGCACTATGATGCTGATGAGTTTTCATGAGAACTTTTAAAAGAAACCCCCGCAAAGTGATGTGGAGATGTGCGGACCCTCAAGTTAAGATTGGAAAAAAATGAGGAGGAGGGAAACTGAAATGGACAGATTCAACAGTCTGTACATCCAGGTAAAGGTAAAGGAACCCAGGACGGTTAAGTCCAGTCAAAGGCGACTCTGGGGTTGCGGCGCTCATCTTGCTTTCAGGCCGAGGGAGCCGGCGTTTGTCCACAGACAGCTTTCCGGGTCATGTGCCCAGCAGGACTAAACCGCTTCTGGCGCAACGGGACACTGACGGAAACCAGAGCTCACAGAAACGCCATTTAGCTTCCCGCCAGAGTGGTACCTCTTTATCTACTTGCACTGGTGTGCTTTTGAACTGCTAGGTTGGCAGGAGCTGGGACAGGGCAACAGGAGCTCACTCCGTCGCGGGGATTCGAACCACCAACCTTCTGTTCGGCCAGCCCAAGAGGCTCCGTGGTTTAGACCACAGGGCCACCCACATCCCTAAGGGCTTTAAAGGTAAAGGTAAAGGACCCCTGACAGTTAAGTCCAGTCAAAGGCGACTCTGGGGTTGTGGTGCTCATCTCGCTTTCTGGCCGAGGGAGCCGGTGTTTGTCCACAGACAGCTTTCCGACTCATGTGGCCAGCAGGACTAAACCGCTTCTGGCACAACGGGACACTGTGATGGAAACTAGAACGCACGGAAACACCGTTTACCTTCCTGCCACAGTGGTACCTATTTATCTACTAGCACTGGTGTGCTTTTGAACTGCTAGGTTGGCAGGAGCTGGGTCAGAGCAGCAGGAGCTCACCCTGTCGCAGGGATTTGAACCGCCAACCTTCTGATCGGCCAGCCCAAGAGGCTCAGTGGTTTAGACCACAGCGCCACCCGCATCCCTACATCCAACATCTTTTAGACAACACAGGGCTACATAGACATTTAGCTTGCTTGCCAGAAGGCAACTTTCTGTGTTTTTCGCTGTCACAAATATTTGGATATAGACTGGACCCTTCCTATGCGCTGCACCAGACATATGACGGCAGCAAAAGAAAGTTTGCACATACAAGACCAGAGTGGGGGAAAATTGCCACATGCTACATTTGCTGTTAAAAACAGGCTCAGGTTTTGTCTGCAGTGAAATAAATCAACAAACAAACAAGAAACTGCGGCGCAGGGGCATTTTTATTTTAAAGTAGCTACTGCACCTCAGAGCTCAGAAACTCTGGGAAGCTCTGATTTAGAGCAGAGAACCAATTTTTCAACCGAAGGGTTGTTGGGGAACCCTTAGCAAACTCAGGGCCTCTGGTCTCAAAATTTTTTTTTTTTAACTTTTTCCGACTCAAGCGTTTTTAAAAATCTGACAGTGAGGAGGGGAAGACAAATCTGCAGAGGATAGAAATGATAATTTTGAAAATCTGGCTGTAGCAAAGCGATCGATGCGGGTTCTTTGACATTTTTGTGGGTATCCAGCTTTAAAAAAATACAGTGGCGCCTTGGTTCTCAAACGCCTTAGTACTCAAACGACTTGGAACCCAAACACTGCAAACCCGGAAGTAAGTGTTCCGGTTTGCGAACTTTTTTCGGAAGCCAAACGTGCTCCGTTTTGAGTGCCACACTTCCGTTTTGAGTGTTACGCTGAGGTCTGTCTGTTTTTGCTATTTATTTTGCATTTTTATTTTTGCAGCTCTTTTTGTTTTTCTGACTGGGTGGAACCCAGTTCGGCTACTGATTGATTGATTGATTGATTGATTGTGTGACTCCGGTACATCCTTTATTGCTTTCATTTTATGGATCAATGGTCTCGTTAGATAGTAAAATACATGTTAAATTGCTGTTTCAGGGGTTGTTCTTAAAAGTCTGCAACGGATTACAGTGGTACCTCGGGTTAAGTACTTAATTCGTTCTGGAGGTCCGTTCTTAACCTGAAGCACCACTTTAGCTAATGGGGCCTCCTGCTGCCGCCGCGCCACCAGAGCACAATTTCTGTTCTCATCCTGAAGCAAAGTCCTTAACCCGAGGTAATATTTTTGGGTTAGCGGAGTCTGTAACCTGAAGCGTATGTAACCTGAAGCATATGTAACCTGAAGTACCACTGTAATCCATTTTGCATTACTTTCTATGGGAAAGCGCGCCTTGGTTTTGGAATGCTTTGGTTTTGGAACGGACTTCCGGAACGGATTAAGTTTGAGAACCAATGTACTAGGGAAGCTTTTAATGTTTAATAGGTTATTGTATTTTAGTGTTTTGTTGGAAGCTGCCCAGAGTGTCTGGGGGGACGCAGCCAGATGGGCGGGGTATAAATCATAAATTATTATTATTATTATTATACCACCACTGTATAGGTATCTGGAATGGGGACAATCCTGTGTTTTCTCATGCTTGCCTCTTGCTTGCTTCCCTCCCTTCCTTGAGGCAGAGAAGTTTGTTTGCATGTGAACCCCCTGTCTGTCCTTCGGCCTGTATCTCTGTGATTTATAGTGCGCCAGAGGCTGGCTGGAGGTGGTGGTTTATCCTCTTGGCACAGAGAAAGGGGGAAGGAGCCATCTGATCTCTGCAGGGGGCCTGCCGGGGGGGGGGGGCGGGAATCATTCTCCTTCTTCCACCAAGGGGGTTATTATCCTTTCTAAAAGTATATTGGCATTTAATTCAGCACAGCTTGACTGCCCGCTCACTGGGACGTGGAGTTCACTCACAGTTTCTTAGCTGCACATTGTGATTTTTTTGTTGTTGCGATGACGTGGAGGCAGAAAAATGGGATTTGGGCACGGTTGGTGGACCGGCCACATTCACAGACCGTACATTTAAGAGCATGAGACTCTTTAATCTCTCTTTTTTAAATTTATTTTTTTAGGTTTTTTTATTCAAAATTAAAACAAGACATATCCAAAAACATTTCTTCCTTGTGTCCCCCCCATTTTTCCTCCCCCCCCACCCCCCGACTTCCCTCAGTTCCAGTCTTTGGTTTCTCTAAGAATGCTGTTTTCTGCATGTTACAAAGTTGTATAGATCTTCAAACTATTTAGCTGATTATTATCAATAAAAAGTTTGTGCATGTTTATTCAAAACCTGCCAAGGAGTCCAGTTCGCGTCTTCAGATACAGTGGTACCTCGGGTTAAGTACTTAATTCGTTCCGGAGGTCCGTTCTTAACCAGAAACTGTTCTTAACCGGAAGCACCACTTTAGCTAATGGGGCCTCCTGCTGCCGCCGTGCCGCCGGAGCACGATTTCTGTTCTCATCCTGAAGCAAAGTTCTTAACCCGAGGTACTATTTCTGGGTTAGCGGAGTCTGTAACCTGAAGCGTATATAACCTGAAGCGTATGTAACCCGAGGTACCACTGTACTTTGTAAAGGGTTCCCATTCATCGTTAAAGTCACAGTTATCCTTGTCCCGTAGCTTATATGTCAGTTTTGCCAGTTCTGCATAGTCCGTCAATTTTTCTTGCCATGATTCTTTAGTTGGGGGAGACTCTTTAATCACATTCTTCCATTCACTGTGATACTGCTTTAAACAGACATGCCTTCACCCCCCCAAAGAATTATGGGAGATGTAGTTTGTTAAGGCAGGTCAGAGTTGTTTGAAGACCCCCGCAGAGGTACCATTCCGCAGAGTTCCCAGGCAAGAGGGATTGATTGTTAAACCGCTCTTGAGATTGCAGCATCTATAAAGCACTCACCCCAAAATATTAGGATGAGTCCTGCCCGTCCCATTAAAAGTTGAACCCCGTTTTAGGAGGCAGCTTAATTACCAAAGGCCTGAGTGAAAAGAAAGGACTTTGCCTGCCATCTTAAGGCTGGCCATGATGGTGCTTGGTGCGTCTCCCTGGGGAGAGCATTCCACAAGATGGGGAGCCACCACTGAAAAGGCCCTGTTCTTGTGCGGCCGCCCTCTGCCCCTTGGGTGGGGCACACGGAGATGGAGACTGCAGGGGCCCAGGCTGAGTCATATGGGGAGAGGCAGTCCTGAAGGTTGTGTTGCTGCTGCTGTTGTTGGCATCCGTCTGTTTCGAGAGGCAATGGAGTGTGCTTCCGGGGGTGAGGTCAAATCACTGTGTTTGCGGCACTGAAGTGACGTCTCTGGGACGCAAGGATAGGCAGTGTGTTTGGAGGTCCTGGGATGCCCAGACGACAAGACCGACATCTTGGCCTTGCTGGTACAGTGGTACCTTGGTTCTCAAACGCCTTGGTACCCAAACAGCTTGAAACCCAAACACTGCAAACCCGGAAGGAAGTGTTCTGGTTTGCGAACTTTTTTTGGAAGCCAAACATGCTCCGTTTTGAGTGCCACGCTTCCTTTTTGAGTGTTAAGCTGAGGTCTGTCTGTTTTATTTATTTTGCGTTTTTGTTTTTGCGGCTCTTTCTGTTTTTACGAATGTGTGGAACCCAGTTCAGCTATTGATTGATTGATTGATTGTGTGACTGCAGTGCATTCTTTATTGCTTTCATTTTATGGGTCAACGGTCTCACTAGATAGTAAAATTCATGTTAAATTGCTGTTTTAGGGGTTGTTTTTAAAAGTCTGGGACAGATCAATCCGTTTTGCATTACTTTCCATGGGAAAGCGCGCCTTGGTTTTGGAACGCTTTGGTTTTGGAACGGACTTCCGGAACGGATCAAGTTTGAGAACCAAGGTACCACTGTGTTGTGGTTATTATTATTAGGGTTTTGTGGAAGTGCTGTATCCCAGAAGGTTGAGCCCAGGTCAGAGACCAGAGCGATATGGGCTTGTATTTATAGCCCAGGTTTGCACCCTCAATCTCACAACCACAACCTTGTGAGGGAGGCTAGGCTGCGAGACAGCAACTGCCCCAAGGCTGCCCAGTGAGCTTCATGGCCGAGCGGGGATTTGAAGATAGGACTTGCAGACTAGTGCTCCAACCACTAGACAGCACTGCCTTTTGGCAACATATGGACCCATTTCGCTACCCAGAAACCCCGGGTCAGGTCCTCGTCCCACAGCTCTGACCACCAAACCACGCTGGCTCTCTTCGTCTTTTTGGCACCAAAACAAGCTTTTAAAGTCAAAATCTTTCCCAGTCTGCATCTGTTAGCATCCTAGACTTGCAGAGCTGGAAGGGAGCCGAGGGTCATCTAGTCCAACCCCCTGCAATGCAGGAATATTTTGCACAACGTGAGACTCGAACCCACAGCCCAGAGATTCAGAGCCTCGTGCCTCTACCTGCTGCGCTATCCCATGTTTAAATGATGTCTAGATATATTTTTAATCATTTTTTCTCTCTCTCTCTTTTCACAATGAAATATTTCCTGTGCCTCCTTGATAGATTTCAACAGACGGATTTCCTGGATTGCTTTGTGCTTTCCACACTGGTTTTTGTTTTTTTTAATATTATTAATGACACCGCCGCTGGCTCTTCCTGCGATTGCAATCCCACAACATTATATAGCTCTTTCAAAGTGCTTCAGAAACTGGGATTAAGCCAGAAGGTCGTCAAGTCCGTGAAACCACCCCCTTTCCTTTTTTTGCAACAGCAAAAAAACCGAAGCTAAAGATATTCTAGGCTGCATCAACAGAAGTCTAGTCTCTGTATCAATTTCATTTCATTTCACTTTTAAGTTTTTATATGGTGCTTCACAAGCTGGAGAAACAACCACATAATCTAACAACCTGAACCAATACCAAAAAAAAAAGTCACAATAAACAAGTTATATAAAATAAAGCAATATTCAGTCATCCATTAGTAAACTGTATCATTAAACGTCAGCAAATATTAATTAAGCAGTTTATACTTATTAATTACAGTGGACGCTCGGGTTGCGAACGTGATCCGTGCGGGATGCACGTTCGCAACCCGCAGCGGCGCGTCTGCGCATGCGCAGGTTGCGATTTGGTCTTCTGCGCATGTGCAAAGCGTGATTAAGTGCTCCTGCGCATGCGCGACCGCTGAAACCCGGAAGTAACATGTTCCAGTACTTCCGGTTTTTAGCGGGTGTGTAACCCGAGAAAATGCAACCTGAAGCGGCTGTAACCCGAGGTATGACTGTACAATAGGGGGAGTCATAGTCCTGCTCTCTTCTGCCTTGGTCAGACCACACCTGGAGTCCTGTGTCCAGTTCTGGACACCCCAATTTAAGAAGGATGTTGACAAGCTGGAAGGTGCGCAGAGGAGGGTGACCAAGATGATCAAGGATCTGGAAACGAAGCCTTATGAGGAACGGTTGAAGGAGCTGGAGATGTTTTGGAAAAGAGGAGACTGAGAGGAGATAGTTCTAGTTACAGGTAGGTAGCCGTGTTGGTCTGCCGTAGTCGAAACAAAATAAAAAAAATCCTTCCAGTAACACCTTTGTTGTTGTTTAGTCGTTTAGTCATGTCCGACTCTTTGTGACCCCCTGGACCAGAGCGCGCCAGGCACTCCTGTCTTCCACTGCCTCCCACAGTTTGGTCAAACTCATGCTGGTAGCTTCGAGAACACTGTCCAACCATCTCGCCCTCTGTCGTCCTCTTCTCCTTGTGCCCTCCATCTTTCCCAACATCAGGGTCTTTTCCACGGAGTCTTCTGTTCTCATGAGGTGGCCAAAGTCTTGGAGCCTCAGCTTCAGGATCTGTCCTTCCAGTGAGCACTCAGGGCTGATTTCCTTAAGAATGGATAGGTTTGATCTTCTTGCAGTCCATGGGACTCTCAAGAGTCTCCTCCAGCACCAGAATTCAAAAGCATCTATTCTTCGGCAGTCAGCCTTCTTGATGGTCCAGCTCTCACTTCCATACATCACTACTGGGAAAACCATAGCTTTAACTATACGGACCTACGGATGTCTCTGCTTTTTAAGATGCTGTCTAGGTTTGTCATTGCTTTTCTCCCAAGAAGTAGGTGTCTGCTGTCACAATCGATTCCGAAGAAGTGTGCATGCACACGAAAGCTCATAGCAATAACCAACTTAGTTGGTCTCTAAGGTGCTACTGGAAGGAACTTTTTTATTTTGAGATGAGATAGGATAGCTATATTCCAATATCTCGAGGGCTGCCACATGGAAGAGGGAGTATCTTGTTTTCTCCTGCTCTGGAGGGTAGGACTCGAACCCATGGCTTCAAGTTGCAAGAAAGGTGATTGCAACCAAACATCAGAATGAACTTTCTGACAGTAGGCGCTGTTTGACTGTGGGATGCAAAGTGACAGACTCTCCTTTCTTGGAGGTTTTTTAGCAGAGGTTGGACGGCCATCAGTCATGGACACTTCAGCTTCCTGCATTGCAGCGGGTTGGACTAGATGACCCTCGGGACCCTTGCAATTCTGTGACTCCTTGATTCTGTTGTAATCCTCAAAGCTGGGGAACACACTCTTTTTATGTCCTTCAACTACCCTCAGCTGAAGCCTGGCGCAGTGGCTAAAGAGCAAATACCGTAATTTTCTCTCCATAAGACGCACCTAGTTTTTAGAGGAGTAAAACAAGAAAAAAAATATTCTGAACGAAACAGTGGATGTATGATTTTTGTGGTTCATGTTGTGGCCACAGACATGTGATCTGATGGTGAGTTTGGGGTAGCCCAAGGCAAAAATCCTGAGGATCCATGTGGATCTGTGCTTTGTAACCACATTTTTGCACCACTGCAGCCCCAGGAAACAGTGGGTGCGTGATTTTTTTGGTGCAGGCTGTAGCCATGGACATGCTATGTGATCTGATGGTGAATTTGGGGTGACCCTATGTAAAAATCCTGAGGATCCATGGGCTTTTACCTCTCCCCTCCCAGGCAGCCTCCTTTATCTCTAGCGTCCCTTATCTCTCTCCCCAGCAAACGATCAGCGGCTTTGTTTCAACACCCACTTCCCTCTTTCAAAAAAAAAGCAAAAAAGCATGATCTACTTTTCGCCCCTGGGCAATTAGGCTCCAGGGACCACGCATTCACTCCAGAAGACGCATAGACATTTCCCCTTACTTTTTAGGAAGGAAAAAGTGCGTCTTATGCAGCGAAAAATACGGTTGTTCTGCTTTTAATCTGCTCTTTGGCCAGAGAATGGACCATTTGGCTACAGTTCCCAGAATTCCCCGGGAGCTGTTTTTCTAAACCGGCGCAACTCCTGTTCCAAGGATTGGGTTATTCGAGGTCTATTTAGCATCCTCATCCGTCCTCGCAGTTTAACAGCTCCTTGGAGGAGCTGGCACCATCATCTTTGTCCCCCCAAAACAAGATATTTTGGAGGGACCGTGACCCAAAATCCCTTTCTGGTCTCGCCTCACGCTGCGGTTACTTATTAGTATGGGAAATGGACCGCCGAGAAGCCGAAATTCCTCCCCGTGATTTTCTCAGGGATGCGTAGGAGAGACGAGCCTTTGATGTGACTTCCTCATTCCATCTTCCTTTCTGTGTCCGTTTCCAGATATAGATGGAAGCGACTTTCCTCATAGATTTTGCACCGTCAGCAGATTCCTCATTATTCATGATCCACACAGACAATCGAGTCTTCCATGCTGAGTTTCCCCTTGTAGTCAATACCCTGAATTCCTGCCTCAGATTAGATATCAATATTATTGCCTTTATTTCAATTAATTACCCCGTCTTTCACCCTCAGCTCCCAGGGTGGGTCACAGCCATTTAAAACACAACAGGTTGTTGTTGTTTTTTTTGTTTGTTTGTTTTGCAATCCTATTTTATACTTTTCCCTCTATATAGCAAGTTACATTTGTTACTCAACAATTATATTCGAGTTCAGCAAAACTTCCCTCTCACCCAACATGGATGCTTATAACTCAAATTGCATACAGTTACATTTTAAGGTTCCGTCTCATCTAATTTCACCCTCTCTAACGTGTTTCTTAATATATCCTGCTCTTTTCTTACACTTCAAACCCCGCTGTGATCTTCACATACGGGAAAATATGGCGTTAGGAACGATTTTTTAAAACCTGCACTTGCAAAAAGCACAAGCACACACAAAAAATAGCATCGCATAAAAAGCAACCAAAGTCCACATAATTGCTTTCAATTTGATTTCCAACCTTTCTGCATTAGAAATTAGCCATTTGCTAAAAAGAGATTACTTTCTCCATGTCACGGGATGCAGCCAGGAAGACAACCTCTAATACAGTGGTGCCTTGGTTCTCAAACGCCTTGGTACTCAAACAACTTGGAACCCAAACATTGCAAACCCGGAAGTAAGTGTTCCAGTTTGCGAACTTTTTCCGGAACCCAAACGTGCTCCGTTTTGAGTGTTACGCTTCCGATTTGAGTGCCATGCTTCCGTTTTGAGTGTTACGCTGAGGTCTGTCTGTTTTTGCTATTTATTTTGCGCTTTTGTTGTCGCGGGTCTTTTTGTTTTGTTTTTGTGACTGTGTGGATCCCAGTTCAGATACTGATTGATTGTGTGACTGCAGTACATTATTTCTTTCATTTTATGAATCAACGGTCTCGTTAGATAGTAAAATTCATGTTAAATTGCTGTTTTAGGGGTTGTTTTTAAAAGTCTGGAATGGATTAATCCATTTTTGATTACTTTCTATGGGAAAGCGTGCCTTGGTTTCAGAACGCTTTGGTTTCAGAATGGACGTCTGGAATGGATTACGTTTGAGAACCAAGGTACCACTGTACAGTTTTAAAGTCCGACTCTTGATCGGAAGTGATCTTTCAAAATGGTCCCTAATCTTGCCACAACCTGGAGCCCTCTAGATATTTTGTACCACAACTGTTACCCCATCCATCTGCAACCCTGCGCTGGCCCTATTTATAGGCTGAAACATCTGGAGGGCACCAGGTTGGGGAATGCTGACCTGGAGCAATTAAACAGGCATATTGCTTGCCTTGCAGGCTCATAATCTAAGGCAGGCACATGGCTGTGTCTATTTGAAGGCTGATTTGTGCATATATTTAGATACAAGCTCTGTATTTTTCAGTTCGGTCTCATGACCGTAAATCAGCAGGGGAGGCGTTTGCTATATTCTGATATTCGCACCGGGTTTAGCGCCAGCTGCCAAATCTCTTCTTCATTGCTTTGTAACTCCAGATGTGTGCCGCGGATGTGATGATGAGGCTCATTGTTTCCTAGTGGGGCAATTCTGACATCAACCCAGAAATGGAATTGTTAATAGCCGCTCTGCTGGCCTTTCATGGGGTAAAAGGAGGTGGCCAGCAGCAGAGTTAATAATAAATAATAATAATGAATTTTTATTTATACCCCGCCCTTCCCGGTTTAAAAACCAGGCTCAGGGCAGCTAACAGCAAATATATAACATTGGTTAAAATGAGACTTTAAAAAAGCATAAAAACAGCATAAAATGCAGCATCAATGTCAATAAAATTTAAAAATTCAGGGGTCATTTTGTGGGGGGAAACCCCAGCCAGTAAACATCAAATGATCACCAGGGCTAACTGGCCAAGTTGGTCCTACTAGGGCCAGCAAGGAGACCAGGGAAGAGTTTAAATGTGGGGTCCCAGAAGGGTTTCTTCATAGAAAAGGAAAGGGAAAAGGGATAGTAAAAGGTAAAGGGACCCCTGACCATTAGGTCCAGTCGTGGCCGACTCTGGGGTTGCAGCACTCATCTCACTTTATTGGCTGAGGGAGCCGGTGTACAGCTTCCGGGTCATGTGGCCAGCATGACTAAGCCGCTTCTGGCGAACCAGAGCAGCGCACGGAAACGCTGTTTACCTTCCTGCCAGAGTGGTACCTATTTATCTACTTGCACTTTGACGTGCTTTTGAACTGCTAGGTTGGCAGGAGCAGGGATCGAGCAACGGGAGCTCACCCCGTCGCGGGGATTCGAACCGCCGGCCTTCTGATCGCCTAGGCTCTGTGGTTTAACCCACAGTGCCACCCGCGTCCCAAAAGGGAATAGAGGATCAGGCTAATTCAAACTGAAGGCCAGGCGGAATAGCTCTGTCTTACAGGCCCTGCAAAAAGAGATCAAGTCCTGCAGGGCCCTAGTCTCGTGGGACAGAGCATTCCACCAGGTCGGAGCCATCACTGAAAAGGCCCTGGCCCTGGTGGAGGATAGTCTGGCTTCTTTAGGGCCCGGGACTTTTAAGCTATTATTATTCGTGGACCTTAGGGTCCTCTGCGGGACATACCAGGAGTTGGTCTTTTCTTGCCCTCCTCTCCAAAACATCTCCAGGCCACAAAATAACGGATGCAGGTCAAAACATTTGGAGCCTAGCTGAGTGGCAGAGCCCATGGGATGCTTTTTGAAGTTACTCAGTTAAGCCCCGGACATCTCCGGTTAAAAACTAGCAGGTGAGAGGGATATGGCGTTCTTTTTCTCCCCATAAATTTTTATTGACTTTCATGTTGTTGTTGTTTAGTCGTTTAGTCGTGTCCGACTCTTCGTGACCCCCTGGACCAGAGCACGACAGGCCCTCCTGTCTTCCACTGCCTCCCGCAGTTTGGTCAAACTCATGCTGGTAGCTTCGAGAACACTGTCCAACCATCTCCTCCTCTGTTGTCCCCTTCTCCTTGTGCCCTCCATCTTTCCCAACATCAGGGTCTTTTCCAGGGAGCCTCAGCTTCAGGATCTGTCCTCCCAGTGAGCAGTCAGGGCTGATTTCCTTCAGAATGGATAGGTTTGATCTTCTTGCAGTCCATGGGACTCTCAAGAGTCTCCTCCAGCACCATAATTCAAAAGCATCCATTCTTCGGCGATCAGCCTTCTTTATGGTCCAGCTCTCACTTCCATACATATTGACTTCCATACAATTTAACAAATTCAATTCCGTTTCAGTGCAATGTTCAGTGCAATGCAATGGCATTCAGAGGCGTGCTGCGTTGATTCCTACATTGCAGGGGTTAGACTGGATGACCCTACGGTTCTGTGATTGTACATCACAGAGGCATTGCCTCTCGAGCTCATGAACACCCAATGAAGCAAAGTGCTGGGAAATTTGAGACAGATAAAAGAAAGTCCTTCTCCAAGTCGCACGCGGTTGAGCTATGGGACTCCCTGCCACAGGAGGGGGAGCGTACCCATTGGTGCTAGTAGCCAGTGGTGCCAGCACCGTCCGTTAAGAGTTTGGCTGTAATCTTCGACACCTCCCTTTCCATGGAGGCGCAGATTGCAGCTATAACAAAGGCAGCATTTTTCCATCTCCGCCAAGCTAAGCAGTTGGCTCCTTACCTCTCTCGCCCTGACCTCGCCACTGTGATCCTCGCGACGGTCACCTCCAGACTGGATTATTGTAACTTGCTCTACGTGGGGCTGCCCTTGAGACTGACCCAGAAACTCCAGCGGGTGCAGAATGCTGCAGCGAGACTCCTTACGGGGTCCTCGCTGCGAGATCACATTCACCTGGTGCTATACCAGCAGCACTGGCTCCCGGTGGAGTACAGGATCAGGTTTAAGGTGCTGGTTTTAACCTTTAAAGCCCTATACGGCCTAGGACCCTTGCACCTATGGGACCGCCTGGTATGTCCCACGGAGGACCTTACGGTCTTCAAATAAAATTATTTTGGAGATCCCGGGTCACAGGGAGGTTAGGCTGGCCTCAACCAGAGCCAGGGCCTTTTCGGCCGTGGCCCCGATCTGGTGGAACACTCTGTCACAAGAGACCAGGGCCCTGCGGGACTTGACATCTTTCCGCAGGGCCTGCAAGACAGAGCTGTTCCACCAGGCCTTTGGCCAGGGCACAGCCTGACCCCCTCCTTCTGTAATCCTCACAGAACTCTAGCCCAATGGTTGCCATCAATTTGATTTGAACTGATTTTATAATGAATTGATTTTAGAATGCTGTATTATTTTACTGTTGTTAGCCGCTCTGAGCCCGGCTTCGGCTGGGGTGGGCGGGATATAAATAAAATCTTACATTATTATTATTATTATTATTATTATTATTATTATTATTATTATTTCCCCCCCCATGGAGTTTCCTGGTCTCTTTTTAAAGCCGTCCAGGTGGCCATCAGTGTCTCTTGTGGAAGCAAATTCTACAGATTAACTCTGCAAGAAGTCCTTCCTTGGAATCACAGAGTTGCAAGGGGCCACCAGAGGCATCTAGTCCAACCCGCCGCAATGCAGTAATCTTTTGCCCAACATGGGGCTGGAACCCACAACCCTGAGATTAAGGGTCTCATTCTCTACCAGTTGAGTTATATCCTTTTGCCGCTTCCAGATCTTCCAGTGTTCAGCTTCCTCGGGCGCCTGCGAGTTCTCGCATTGGGAGAGAGGGAGGAAAGCTTTCGTGTGCCCACTTTCTTCAGTCCACTTGGCTGCGTCGAGGAGACGCTTGATCTCTCTGGGCAGGGCTGAGTGCGGGCAGCGGATCTAAGACGAGGCCTAACCTCGAGCGAACTTCTGGGCTGCCCCGACCAGCGAGGGGGAGAAAAAACCCAGAATAACGGGTGCAATTTTTTCCCTTTTAAGGGCAAAGTTTTCTAGCCGTATCTCGGAATATCTCTCCTGCCTTTCGGCCTCTTTGTGCCACAGCCATAACACAACTTAAAAGAGCATTTTATCCCCCCCCCTTTGATTTATTATATATCAGGGCAGGGCACTGCGGGATGTTGAGATTTCAGAAGGCATCGGGTGGGAACACAGAGCCCTTGAATTATTGCCGCACTGAGCGGCTTGGAAGAACCGGATGCGACGGCACCAGGCATGCCTGCCTCCAGTTAACAGCGGGATAGGAGCAGATGCAGCTGCCTTGCACTGAGTCGGACCACGTAGCCCAGCACTGACTGGCAGCAGCGCTCCAGAGTTGCAGGCCAGAAGTCTTTTATCACAGTTTGTTTTTAGGGAGTCAAGTTGCAGGGAGACCATCCAGGGATCATCTTTCTATCCTTTGCCACCCTCTGCATACATGTTTGCAGTTGCCAGGAACCATAAGAATAATAAGAATATAAGAATTTATTATTTATACCCCGCCCATCTGGCTGGGTTTCCCCAGCCACTCTGGGCGGCTTCCAACACAATATTAAAATATAGTAATGCATCAAACATTAAAAGCTTCCCTAAACAGGTCTGCCTTCAGATGTCATCTAAAAGTTTGGTAATTGTTTATCTCTTTGACATCTGGTGGGAGGGTGTTCCACAGGGCAGGTGCCACCACCGAGAAGGCCCTCTGCCTGGTTCCCTGTAACTTGGCGTCTCGCAGGGAGGGAACCACCAGAAGGCCCTTGGTGCTGGACCTCAGTATCTGGGCTGAACGATGGGGGTGGAGATGCTCCTTCAGGTATACTGGACCGAGGCCGTTTAGGGCTTTCAAGGTCAGCACCAACACTTTGAAGAGAGGAGAGTTGCTCTTACGCTCGAATCCTGCTTGCAGGTTTCCCACAGCCATCGGGTTGGTCACTGTGAGAACAGGACCCTGCACTGCATGGGCCATTGGTCTGATTCAGCAGGCTCCTCTTAATTTCTGAAGTAGATACACCCATTCATCAGCTCCAGATTTTAGCATCCCCCAAATGGAAAGGAAGAACTGGGAGTACCCATCAAGGCTCCCACTAATTCCTTTGCCATTACGGCTCTACCTGTCTCAAGGGACGCGGGTGGTGCTGTTGTCTAAACCACTGAGCCTCTTGGGCTTGCCGATCGGAGGGTTGGCGGTTCGAATCCCTGCGACGGAGTGAGCTCCCGTTGCTCTGTCCCAGCTCCTGCCAACCTAGTAGTTCGAAAGCACACCAGTGCAAGTAGATAAATAGGTATCACTGTGGCAGGAAGGTAAACGGCGTTTCCGTGCGCTCTGGTTTCCGTCACAGTGTCCTGTTGCACCAGAAGCGGTTTAGTCCTGCTGGCCACATGACCCAGAAAGCTGTCTGTGGATAAATGCCAGCTCCCTCGGCCTGAAAGCGAGATGAGTCCTGCAACCCCATAGTCGCCTTTGACTGGACTTAACCGTCCAGGGGTCCTTTACCTTTTTACCTTTCTACCTGTTCCAGGCTCTACCTGAGTTCACAGGACACCAGGTGAGTGACAGGCGGATGTGGCCAGCCAAAAACACCCTACTGAGCCAAAGGGTGGTCTCAGTTAATACAGGGGCCTCAGTTTGCCCATCTTTGAGCATCTTGACTGTTGTTTCTGACTTGCTGCCAGGAAGGATGCTGAGAAATCCAGGTGTGTTGTCAATCAGAAGAGCCAGCCACTCAGGTGATTTGGCCGCTGCCTCTGGCTCTCTATTCCTCCATCTTCCTCAGGTTCTTCACCCGCCCATTCTTCCTTGCTTACCCAACTGGGAGGACCAGAGTCATGTCTTGCAGATCTTGGTTTTGGCTTGGTGATCCGCAATCTATTGGAACACATCCATTGCAACCTTCCCCAGAGACCCTACCTGCCTGCCCATCATTTCCCAAACCCTCCACCGTCCCTATTTCTCTGGGTCAGGTTCTTCCAAATTAATTTGGCTTCTTGCAAAAAACAAACACACTGTTCCCCATAATTCTTATGGAGACAATATCACCACCTATGAGCATCTCATGGCTTTTGCAGCCCATCTAGCCCAACCCTTAGAAACTTGACATCTGAAACTCTAAATGAATTGGTTCCATAAAATACAATTTTGGCTTGCCGTGTGTTCTGCGGTGTGGCAACCAGTGCCTTTTATGCAACTTGAGGAGTGTATAACTTACTGTAGTTGGCACAATCTGAGCCACAGATGTTGGTGCAGTTGTTGTTTTTTTTAATTCTAGACTGCTTGCCTATTTATTTTATTTCATTTTTTTGCAAAGCTGCCGGAGAAGCTAGGCCTTCTTTGAGACGTGTGTGCCGTTTTGCAAAAGCGCTCGGCTCCTTTTTGTTCCTCCCGTCAGCGAGGAGGGGGAAGGAGGGCCGCGGGGAGGAAACATAAATATATCCTTTCCTGTATTTTGCTTACAGTAGTGATGCCCTCTCCGATGACCCTTCGGCCTCGTGGCCTCTCTTCTCGTTTCCCAGTGAGGCTCAAGCTGCAGGCGACAGCCGCAGACTGGCTAGCTGAAGTCTCACTCTGCCCCAGCCAGTTCATGCTCCCTTTAACCATTCACTCCTTCCTCTGAACAACCACCCCCTTCCCCGTTGGCATACATCAGGGGTCAGCAAACTTTTTCAGTGGGGGGCCAGTCCACTGTCCCTCAGACCTTGTCGGGGACCAGATCATATTTTTGGGGGAGGAAAGGAATGAACGAATTCCTATGCCCCACAAATAACCCAGAGATGCATTTTAAATAAAAGGACACATTCTACTCATGTAAAAACACGCTGATTCCTGGACTGTCCGTGGGCCGGACTTAGAAGGCGATTGGGCCGGATCCGGCCCCCGGGCCTTAGTTTGCCTACCCATGGCATACATGGTTGGGGCAGACCGCCCCCACCGGGCACAGTTGGACGTTCTTCTGAAGCATAGCTGTCAACTTGCAGATTTGAAAACAAGGGACCAGCAGCCTCGAAAATAAGGGATCAGCAGCCAAAATAAGGGGTTTTTCGGGCACAGGTATGTTCAGCTTCTGAGCCCCTCCGAGCCAAAGGCAGAAAGCCCAGCCAGCAGTCAAACAAAGCCTCAAGCGGTGGTTCCCACAGCGCAGCAACCCGGCAAAGGGGATGCAGCAAGGAAAACCACTGTCACCTCTCCGCTGGGAAGCGCTGAGCAAAGGCGAGTCCCCAGGCAATGCGGCCGATTTGATCGGCACAAGGCATGCAAGCTCCACCCCCCAGTCGTTCTTAGACTCCTTATTGGGTGAGCAACGCAGCCAAGCAACACAGTTGGAGCCTCCCTCCTCCCTGGCCGGCAGGGAGGGAGGGAGAGGAGCTGCTTCCTTTGAAACCCGGGAAATATAAGGGACATCATCAATAAGGGACAGCAGCGGGACACGGTGCTGGGATAAGGGAGTTTCCCGCCAAATAAGGGACGGTTGACAGCTATGTTCTGAAGCAGCATGCATAGGATTCCACTGTTGAGGGGCGAATTACCCTTCTCCCAGGAGCATGCAAACTTCTGGACTACACAGAGCTCTTCATTTACAGAGCAAAAAGAACAATGATGGGTAGACTTAAGCAGATTTGTTTCCCCAGTATTCACCCTAAGGCTGTTCTTGACCATCGTCACTGCACATGGGCTGAGGGCATGTTGGGTAGCACTGCTAATTGGGCCTCCATAGCTGTGTTCCCTGACTGGCTTGCCCTGCTCAGGCCTGAACTTTTTTTATTTTTTAAATGCTTTATTAACCGTAGTTACATCCGTACATCGAAGATATTTTATAGTCTGCAAATCAAACTCATCAAAATAAAAATTCCAACAAAGAAGTATATATCTTCATAAATTTCACTTCCTGTCCTTCTCAACATCTTTTCACTCTAATAAACCTATTGCCTAAATTTATCAGCAAAATCATAATAAAATATTGATACGCATCTATGTATATATATTTATTTTAACCCATTTAGCCTTCGTTTACAGAGCTTATTCAAAAGCTGCTACCGAATTCAGATTGCAATGCTTATTTTTTAAGTAACTCTTCCGAGGTTTCCAGTTATCAACGAACTCCTGTTTTTGCATATCTTTAATCTTTTCCAAGAGACTATCTAGTTCAGCATATTCTAACAATTTTAGTAACTATTCTGATCTGATGGGGATTTGGCCACTCTTCCAATGTTTTGTTATAAGTACAGTACTACTTTCACTTTCTTTTTTTAAAAAATGACTTATTCTGATGGGTATTTGTAAGAGATCCAAAAGTCCAGGAGGACTTCCTCAGGAGGTAGTGCACCGCCACGGGAGGTTTTTAAGCAAAGTGGGACGGCCATCTGTCATGGATGCTTTAGTTGTGATTCCTAGCGACTAGAAGACCCTTGGGGTCCCTATCCACTCTACAATATGATTCTGTGTTACTGGAGCAAATATTGGCCTCTGAGCCCTTTGCAAACCCCGCTTTTCTGAAAGCCACAGTCGTTTTGTGCCAAATTATTATTATTATTACTATTATTTATTATTTCTACCCGGCCCATCTGGCTGGGTTTTCCCAGCCACTATGGGTGGCTCCAAACAGAATATTTGTTGTTGTTGTTTAGTCGTTTAGTCGTGTCCGACTCTTCCTGACCCCATGGACCAGAGCACGCCAGGCACTCCTGTCTTCCACTGCCTCCCGCAGTTTGGACAAACTCATGCTGGTAGCTTCGAGAACACTGTC